CTGAAAGTAAATATCACTCATCGCACTTTAGTTTATTTTTTATTTCATCTTTAGAAATAAAATAGTATTTTTTTCGTAATCATTAAAACTCCCAATGAAATGCTTTATTTTACTTTCATCTTATAATGTAGGAGAACATAAATTAATTGAGTCTAACGTGTCCGTATGGGTGAGATTGGCCCTACACTTTTAGTTACTTACTAGAAAATAAATTAAATTATTCAAATTGATGATATTCCTGTATGATCAATTTTTATTCATATAAAATTTTATTTTACTATCTCATTTCGGAATTTCCCGGGATCCCGGGAAAAGAAATTATTTGTCCCGTAATCCCGCTGGAGGCAAATTTCCCGGGAAATGAGAAACCCTAATTTCCATTGATGAGATGAAGTGCCAGCTTTTGTTTAGCATATCTATTGGTTTCCAAAATTAATATGTCTATCAAGGAGTTGTTGACAAAGAGCTTGAAATATTGTAATGCATCAAACCTCCACAAGATGAAAAGTAGAACCAGGGATGCCAATGATGTGGTTGAATATGGAGACAGATGCAGTTGATCAATGTTCATCTCTTTTCAATCCATAGTAGAATATTCATGAAAGCTAACCTCAGATTCACCACTGGTGTCATTGCTTTCTTCTGACATGCTTACTGACATTCACATGTTGAATTTCTGTATCCGAATCACTCATTTTATTCTCAACTTTAATCCTAACACATAAATGTGAAATAAAATATATAAGCATACAGATATAAAAGTAAAAAATATAAAAACAATGTTGTTTATGGTCATTTATTCATTATTTTACGTTGATTCTTCTTATGTTTGTTCTGTGATGTGTTCGTTATCTGATTTGTTTGTTAACTGAACTGTTCGTTAACTGATCACCAACTGTATTTATCATTTTTAAATTTAATTTTTTTAAACAAAATATTTAGAACTTGAAGAAGTCACCTCAAGCACAGACTGAAGCCATATTACAACATGAAATTAACAGATTAACAGATGAAAATGTTGTAAGTTAAAAATTTTTTTAAGATATCTAATATAATGTCCAATGTCTGAAAAATACACCATATATAAGACTGATTTTTATTGATAAACCATGAAATTCTATGAAAAATGTTTAAATTGAAATTTTTCTTAGAACAGTCTGTTAATCATGTTTTAGTTTCATTGTCATTTGGTAAAATTGGTAAACTTTTTTCTAAAATTAGTGATAAGTATCATTTGATAAACTTTAACATAGCATATTCCAATTTTGTAGTGTACTTAGTTAGTTTTAATATATGCCAGAAGTTATTGATTTTCTAGCATGTAAATGAAAAAATTCTCATTGTTATAAAATTATATCTTGAATATGGCATTGACAAAAATTCACCTGATAAATGTTATACTTGGTGGACAGTATTTTATAATAAGTTAAATACATTAGTTTTACTGGATGATACATACTCAAATTTGAAGATTGAGAAATTTAGATATAGTTACAATTACATTGTTGCCATGGTAACAGTTTGTTTCTGATTTAGAATAACAGGTTAAATTATTAGGAGATGACCATCTTTTAAAACAGAAAGGAACATAATTGAAACTTTATAGCTGATAAAGCTTGCATATTTTTAAATAAAAATCAATTTTTTCAATTCTTCTCTAATTATTTTTGAGGGGTTTATGCTCACTATTAAGTTTTTGTAAAAAAATTAAATTTTATTAAATGAATGATAACTTTTATTTTTTTTTTGCAGTTTTTGATGTGTTATAGTTTACTAATTTAACATAAAACAATAGAGTTCAAAATTTTATTGTAGAGAGAATTTTTTTTAAACTTTCAAATTTTATAAAATGTAGTATTGTTTTATGAATTTATATTTTAATAGATAATGATAAATATTTTTTAGTTACCTTATCTTCCAAAAATAATGAACTGTATGATGAGCAATTATTTTATTGTGACATTGTCACAATGCCAGGCTGTGATTTTTAATCATATTTTTTAAGTACATAGTCAAATGATTGCCTTAAATACTTGGGCTATAAATCCACTATTTTTAATAATTAATACTAAGTAATTTGTTACTAGAGGTAAACATTAAACACCATCTTTTAATGCTCTTTCTGTAGATTTCTTCCATTTTCGAAATGTTTTCGAAAAATGGCACGTTCCATATTTTTCAAAAACATTCGAATTAAAGAATCCGGTTACATTGAAAGCTAAAATAAAGTAAGCCTGAAGAAGATCCCAGAAGGGGAATTGAAAATGTTCGTCGATTTTAAAGAATTTTCGCACCAGTTACTGGTTAATTGTAGATAGTTGGAATATACCATCTTTTATCTAAATTAATAATTATAATTTAAATAATTTATTAAATAATTTAGAATAATCTGGAATTTAGAATCAATAAATTGTTTAGTATTAATTATTAAAAATAGTGGATTTATAGCCGAGTATTTAAGGTGATTGTTTGGCTATGCATCTATATATTATGGGGATTTGTTTTGTTTAATATACTTACATAATTTTTAATTTATTTAATTTAAAACATATGCTCTCCATCTTTAAATTAGTAGTGTCTTGCCCCTGTACATCATACTTTTCCTTTAGCAATCAAGTCATGCTGCAGTCATCTAACTCCTTTCAGGGGAAATTTTTGAATTGAAATAATGTGACTTACAGTTTGCATTAGAAGTTTGCATGTAGTTAATTGGGCTTCCTACCCCTAATCTTTCCATATCTAGTCTTGGCTTTCACCTATCTAACTCCATTCTCAAGATTAAGGAAGGACAGACAGACAGTCTATAATTTTTTTTCAAATTGCAGCTCAATAAGAAGAAAATTATGACTATATTTTATAATACTATATAATTTAATAAAGTACAGGGCAGGTAAGAAAGTCACTTAACATCCCTGCTATAGAATATAGAATGTACCCAAAGAATGTACAATGAACACATCATGTAATGTGCATAACTCTAACTGTTTGAAGTAGGTCAATAAAATCTTTAAGCAATCAATCCCTTGCGAAATTCTGACCCTAAATGATATCACATAACTCCCTTTCCATATACAGTTTTGGAGTTGCATTCAATATGGCCACTATCAAGATGGTGATTGTGCATATAACACACACTAATCTGTTTCCCCCTTGGTCTAATGTGTTCCTAACATGAGTGAATTAACATTAGGTATATTCTATAGCAGGGGTGTTAAGCAAGTTTTTTTTCTCACCCTGTATTTTACCTTTAATAATAAATATTTTTCAAATCAAACAATAATAATTTAAAAATTAATCATTATTTCCAAATACTTCTGAGAAATGTTGGCAATATTATATATTTCAATTTTACTATGGCATTTACCTACATTCCAAAAATCTGGCATTTTTTACCTGAATCAGGAAGAGCCAAATTGATGATCTAATAACACTTTTAAGCACTATCTTGTTATGGGAAGATAATACCTCATTTTTTGTTATACTTTCTTATTTTCTCTTAAACATTTAAATTTTTTATACAAAAATTCTAATTGATAATTGGAGTCTGAAAAATAACTTTTTGGTGAATAATTCTCTTCCTCTTAAGAAAACTGCCATTATTGTGATATTTGATATAACTTACCTGTTATGTTTTCATTAAATATGTAAATCACAATGTTTCCTTTATTTTTTAAGTAAATCAAACTTAATATATTTTTCAGCCAACTTTCTGGGATGGCTTTATAGAGTAATGGTTTTTTAAGAACTCATCTCATAAATTATGCAATGTGTATCAGAAAAGAAAATTACAGTACATAAATCAATAATTTTTTACGTTGATTCTTCTTATGTTTGTTCTGTGATGTGTTCGTTATCTGATTTGTTTGTTAACTGAACTGTTCGTTAACTGATCACCAACTGTATTTATCATTTTTAAATTTAATTTTTTTAAACAAAATATTTAGAACTTGAAGAAGTCACCTCAAGCACAGACTGAAGCCATATTACAACATGAAATTAACAGATTAACAGATGAAAATGTTGTAAGTTAAAAATTTTTTTAAGATATCTAATATAATGTCCAATGTCTGAAAAATACACCATATATAAGACTGATTTTTATTGATAAACCATGAAATTCTATGAAAAATGTTTAAATTGAAATTTTTCTTAGAACAGTCTGTTAATCATGTTTTAGTTTCATTGTCATTTGGTAAAATTGGTAAACTTTTTTCTAAAATTAGTGATAAGTATCATTTGATAAACTTTAACATAGCATATTCCAATTTTGTAGTGTACTTAGTTAGTTTTAATATATGCCAGAAGTTATTGATTTTCTAGCATGTAAATGAAAAAATTCTCATTGTTATAAAATTATATCTTGAATATGGCATTGACAAAAATTCACCTGATAAATGTTATACTTGGTGGACAGTATTTTATAATAAGTTAAATACATTAGTTTTACTGGATGATACATACTCAAATTTGAAGATTGAGAAATTTAGATATAGTTACAATTACATTGTTGCCATGGTAACAGTTTGTTTCTGATTTAGAATAACAGGTTAAATTATTAGGAGATGACCATCTTTTAAAACAGAAAGGAACATAATTGAAACTTTATAGCTGATAAAGCTTGCATATTTTTAAATAAAANTTTTATTTAATTAAAAAATACTTAGAGATGAATAAACATATTATATTAACTTAAAAAACAGTTAATTTATATTGGGGCTTATCACACCAGTCATCATGAATACAAAATTTATTAGATTTAATATAATAAGCAGTTTCTAGCTGGATAATATTTGGCTTTGGTTGATGTAGTGCTTTAAAGGTATCGGGTGTAATAAGAAATGTTTGATTAAATAAAATTCACTTTAGATTGATTTTTATAATTCATTTTTATATTTTCCTGTCACTTATTGAGCTGCAGTTTTAAAATTGTTCTCAAGATTAAAGAAAGACAGACAGATACCAGTGGAAATTTATAGGTCTGCAAAGTTAGATAGATAAAAGTTGACACCAGAAATGGAAAACTTTGGAGCTAGAGGCCCTGATTAACCATATTAACCATATCATTTCAATTCAAAAATTTTCTTCAGAATACAGTCACATAAATGACTGGCATTACACTCTTGTTATCAGGAAAAGTATAATGTAAGGGGCTAGACTCTACTCAAGAGCATTGTGCATTGAGATATAAAATATTGCAACCCAGCATTGTGAGGATGTCACAATAAATAATTGCTTGTTGGTTTTATATTTTGTAGCTGATCACTTTTGGCAATAGTAAAGAAATGGAAAAAGTCTTTCTATAAAGACAATTCTTAGTTTTGGCAAATTTCTATAAATTGACAAGACAAATTTCTTAATGATGATGATTTTTTTTGTTTTGGATGATGTAGTGTGCTTCAATTTGAAAAAAAATTGTAGATGTATAAATTTACACTGTTGTCTGTCTGTGTGTGTCTCTGTCTTTCCATAATTTCGAGAATGGAGTTAGATAGATGAAAACCAAGACCGGATATGGAAAGATTAAAAGCAGGAGGCCCCGATTAACTATATATGAACTTCCAATGCAAAGCAGAAGTCACATTATTTCAATTCAAAAATTTTCCTCTGTAAAGAGTTAGATAGATGACCTGCATGACTCTATTGCTAATGGAAAAGTATGATGTACTGATGAGGGGCAAGACACTACTAATTTGAGGTATTTTAAAGTAAAAAATTATTAAAATATGATAAAAATTGCAGCCTGGCATAGTGATGATGTCACAATAATAATTGCTTGTAATTTTTTTCAACTACAATAATATATTTTAAAATAGAAATAATGCATGTCATATAATACTAAATTAGACTATTCTAATGCCTTAAAAATAATAATGTGCTGTACTTTAGAAAAAGACATTGATAATTGTGAGAATATAAAATTTGTATTTATATTAATAAAATGCTTTCTGATAATTAACTTTGGAAAATTTATTTTCATAAATATAATTAATGTAAATTTTGTAATTTTATAATGCAGTTAATTTTTACATTAAATCTCTGCTTTAAAAATATGAATATTATAATTAGTTATTTTTTTATATTTATATTATTTTAGTATGTGTGTGAAAATTATGTAAAAATATAATTTTAAATTTTAAATTAGGATCTTAGAGAAAAAATTGATGGTAATTCTGATCAAGTTAAGAAGCTGAAGAAACAGCTGAAAATATATGCAAAGAAGCTTAAGGATGTTGGAAGTAAACAAAAATTCTTTTATTTATTATGTTCATTTATTAAATGAAATTTTTATTGTTTATATATTTTTAATAGTATATATAACTAAAATTTAACAATAATGTAATCTAGAAATCACTATGAAACTGCTATCAAGCATTTTTCATTATTTCAATTACAAATTTTTAGATATTCAACTTATTTATATATGTAGCCAATTCATTTGAATAAATAGAATTTTCAAATCCTTTTCCAGAGAAAAACACAGCCACAAATGGAAAATTATGTAATAAGTTACATTTTTATTAAACTTTCTGTATGAAATTATCTTCTGTGGATAAATGCATAGTTTACACATTGGCATTTAAATTTTTATAGAATTAAGTTAATAATATTTGCAACTGTGGTTCATGTTATTGTCATATTCATAGCAGATATTTCAAAACACAAGGAACACTTATATGGTATTTGCATTATTTAGTTGGTAAAAATGTGCTGTTATTGTTACAAGTAAAACTGATACTACATTTAAAAAGTAATAGTGAGATTTATAATAATTGTTAAAATCATTCATATTTATATTCTTTTTGAATATGTTTTATTCAGATTTATAAATTTACATCAGACCTATACATTTATTAATTATAATTAATAGAATGTATTCTGCATCATTATCTAAAAAGTTTGGTAAAAATTCATAATGACCAATTAATTAAATTAATCATAATTACATTATGAATAGATAAGTGAGTTTTCTTAGATTGATTGTAAATTCAAAAATATTATCTTTGAGTGTTAAACATATCAGCTATTATATTCAGAAATTTTTTTATTTGAGATAATTGCTTAAGATTGCTTTCTCCATATCTACTGATCATCAATATATAATAAGACAAAAATGTTTCATTCATTTAAGTAAAGATGAAATTTAAATAATTATTTCAAATCTCCCTTTATTAACTTATTATTCTTAATCATCTTCAACAATGCCTTTGCTCATCATATTATACCTATTCCATGAAAGAATATCCTTTTCCATATGATCTTTAAAAATAGGACCCCAAACTTTTATCTAACTATTACCTTATTGCCCTTGTTGCTGAGTAATGAATAAAGGACTCCAAAGAATTGCTCGGCGTTGATAAAAATTTAATAAAGTCAAAAATTCCAAAATCCGAATATACAATTATTCACACTTACAAACTAGGATATACAAAGTTGACTGGGAACGGTCGTCACGATACAACAAAATAGCTCCCAAGTACTGACAAACAAAAGAAACTTATTCTAGCTTAGGATTATCATAATTAAATAATACAAATATAGGGCCCAAAATTTAGAGAAAGATATGAGTAACAGAATTATACAGAATGAAAGGTTCAAAGGGGTGACTGGTAATAGTAAATAAAAAAAAATCTCGGATCTGTCCCTTAGTAATTTTCTTCTTTACATGCTCGTCCTCACATGTCCTCTGTTTTCCTCCAAGTCCCCCTTTCTTCCTGTTCGGATCTCCCTTCTGTCCACCACTAGTCAACCGCTCGACCAATGAAGTGTCAGCCCCTTTTGTTTTAAGATAGTTCAGACCACATGGTTTAACCAACCACATCGTGGTTAAGGAAACAAAAGCTGGAAGTATGATTCTTCCATAAGAAAATGGTAACAGGGAATTAAAAGAAAAATATAAGTAACATGGCTTAATAAAGTTGCACCCTCCTATCAGAAAATTGTTCATCTTGATCTTGGTTTTCTGGCTCCTTAAATTTCTCTAACTTCTCTAAATTTCTCTAAACTTCTCCTTAAATTTCTCTAAATATTCTCTAACTTCCAATTCAGTTTCAGAAAAAAAAAACTCTACCCTTGACATGCACCTACATTTATTAAATACTTGGCTAATTTTCATTCCATCATAGATGCAACAGACTCATAGCCATCTTCATTGACTTATCAAAAGCCTTTGATTCCATTCAAATTTCCCTTCTTTGCCCCAAGATAAAGGATTATAACATTAGCCACAAATTTATTACCTGTGTTAAATCTCTTCTCACAGAATCTTGAGGCTGTTGTTATTTCTAATAACCTTATCTCTAACTTTGTAACTGTTGACTGTGTTCTTCCTCAAAGAAGCTCCCTTAGCACTGTCCTCTTCAACTTCTTTGTCAATGATTTTCCCTTTATCCTTGACTAAGTTGAATCTGATAGTCCCATTCTAATGAATAGTCCAATCTGCTTCCTTCAATTTTCAGATAACTCTTCTCTCTCACATTTGCTGGAATGCAATGTAAACTCAATCTTATGCATCTATGTACACTAGTTACTAGTTACTAGTTACTGATGTCACAATTAACCTTTCTAAAACAAAAACCGTTATCTTCTGCACTGGTCAAAAACTTAAAAAGAGAGAAATTCTATATTGAAAAACAATTCATTGACATAGTCACACACTACAGATTTGTTGGCATTCACTTTTCATACAACAATAGATTTAACTTTATCTCAAACAAGTCAAAAATTCTTGTATCTCAAACAAGTCGAATTCTTGGATCTTGAAAAATATATTCTCACCTTTTAGCTCTCTTCCTAAATGAAACTTATGGACTACAAAATCCACTTAAAGCTTTTTAAGCCTCTTCTCCTCAATTCATCTTTATGCCTCACTCCTCTAGAGTCTTCCCTTTATTGACATCTCAAAACTATTCATGACACCTTCATTAGACTTAATTGTTAAATTGAAAGATCTACTCCTGGTTACATTCTCAGGATAGAATTTCATGTTTAATATTTATTTTGTAATTTCATCTATAAGCTGTGTAAAAATCCTACCCTGGAGATGAATTAAATCTTTACTTGCCCTGAATCATACACTGCTATGATTAAATATGCAGACATTTTCCATACTATCGATACAATCTTCAATTAAAGGCAATATGCTCACACTCTTTCAAAGCATTCTATCTTTCAATTGGCTAAATTTATTAGTGAATTTTTTAAGCATGTTTAACTTTTTTTGTGATGTATTTTGCATTTTTTTTAATTTTCATTATGCGATTTTGCTATTTGTAAGTTTTTATTGTCAACCCACTTAGCATGCCTCCAAATTCAGGTTTTGTATCTTTCATTTTGATAAAGTTTAATTACAATAATCATAATTATTTAAAATTATTAAAATATTCTAATTTTCTTTTGCTTTTTGAAGAACAGTCTGTTAATTAAAAATTAGAATAGTAAATAGATAACATTTGTTTCATAAAAGAAAATCATTCTCTCCTATTCTATATCATTAAATAAAACTTTTATTATTATTAGAATTGCTTGTTTTTAGAAAAAGTTATATATTAGGTTTTTAAACATTATATTTTTTAAAATTATATTAATATTTTTATATTTTGATAATTAGCATATTGATTGTAAAATATGAATTAAGTCATACTTGACAATGTTTTTGGTACCAGCTTAGCCTTGCCTTTATGCAACAAACACATACATTTATAGCAAATATATATAAATATATATAATATATAGTTAGCATTTAAAATAAGACTGAAAAATAAGTTAGAAAAATAAGCTAATGGCACTAAAGAACAGAATATTTATTTATTCACAGAGAAGTTAGAGGGGTTTTTTGTGGATGGTATAACTTCTAAATGATGAAATTCTTTAATTGTAAATCTATTTGCAGCATTTGTCATTGTATCTCTAAAATTCAATGTTTTTTTTTTTTTGAATTTCAGACTTTTTATGGTTTGACCATAAAAAGTCTGAACATCAGTTACAGTCGACCCCCCCCCCATAAGATCATAGATATGTTTCATTCTTTAGGAATCCGATTTCTTACGAGTCCTTCCAATCACAGCCCGACACGTGAAGTTTACGGACTACGGCTGTTTGAAAGGTTTTCTTCCATAAAATTAATCGATTCTAGACTAATCCGACTCAACATTTCCAAAATACGTATATATTTTTTGGGAATAATCCGTATAAACTACGCTATAAACAAAAAATTGTAGGATTACTTACCGAGTATGCACCATTCGACAACCCCATTGCTAAAGCTTGTTTTCGTCGCGAAGCAGCACACCAAACCGCGGCCGATTTCTGATAACTTATTTTTCTGCGAAAACTTCGTTGAACTTTGGAGACATCATTAATATAAATAATTTTTATGGCCGTTGAATAAGAAATGTTTCTTTCACAAGAAATGTATAAAATTACAGTACTGTATTAGACTTACGGTACCTAATTTACATACTGTACAGACGATAGCGTAAAATCTCCATAGCGTGGCGCTAAGCGGCGGAAAATACATATATAATTATAATAAAGTTACAGTAAATTAAATTAATATATAATTATATATACAGTACCTAATTTATATATAATTAATATATAATTATATGTACAGTACCTAATTTATATATAATACTGTACAGACGATAGTAATTTCTCTATAGCGTGGCGCTTGATGGTGCGGAAAGTAATTCGGCTGCCCGATGATGTTTTACGTAATTATAGGAGTTTTTTTTATTTTTTTTTACGGATACCGTCGCAATTTTTTCGCAGTTTTATAGGAATCATAATTATAGGAACTGTAATTATAGGGGTCTACTGTATTTGATGAAAAAGGATATATACATACTGTACACATATATGATTATTTTCAGAATATATAATGCAAATTTTTTTGGCTATCTGATAGTTTTTCTTAGTGCTGAATAATAAAGTATTTAATCTGAAACTTATGTCAGACATTCCATTATTATGATCTCAAATCATAATAAATACAGCTTAAAACTTAGTAAATGCAGAACAAAAATTTAATTTAATATCGAAAATATTCTGAATATTGTGTTGTTATTATTATCCAGTAAGTAGCAGTTAAGTTGGATCTCAAATTATATTTGGTTTTACACGAGTCTGTTTTTGAAGTTAGTTTTTAAATAATTTTTTCTTTCATAAGCAAACAATACTTATGAAAGAATATTAGATTATGTTCATATTCAAAAATAATCTTTTGTTACAAGTTTGACTGAAGAATAAATGTTATAAATTGAGTCTTGCATACAATAATATGCCTTACTGAAAATGGTATTGGGGACATTTCATTAGTGATACAATAGCAGTTAATATATTAAAAAAATGTTTGTTTAGATATGTCAGAAAATAAAGCAAATAAACAGATCTAACGACACACAGAAATATACAATTATATGTAACACGAATAAAAGCTGCAGAGAGGGGATACACTGTGCCACACAGATATGTAGCAGACCAAAACCAAACAAGACAGTGATCTATGACCAAAAATATGTGAAATTCGCTAACATAGGGCTATCTAATACAAAATATGTCTTAGTGACTTAGCACACAGGGATTGCATTTTTACTTTTTTTCACAAGATAGTTATAAGTTAATAGTGATATAATTAATTTTCCATATTGTGTAAAGTGATGTGATAAAGGAAGAAATATAGTTTTCTAAAATTCATATGCATTATAAATTTAAATTTTTAAATGAAAGCTTTTTATTAACTGGATTTTCATTATAAATTTGACAAAATACTTTAATTATACAAATAGTAAAATGAGATAATTAATTGAAAGAAAAAATGAAAAAGTTCAAATATTTATTGGAATCACTAAAAATATATTTGTGGCTTTGACTGTTTTTAAGGCTATTTGGCCAATCTCAATTTTAGATTTTGCATACACATTATCTGAAAAAGGTCAGTCATCATTGTGATTTTTAGTAATCCCCATAAATATGTAAATTGATCTTAGGTTTTATTTTTATGAAATTACTATGACATAACCAAATAGCAAATACAATACATAAAATTACTGTGACACACTCAGAAATTATACTACAAATTACACTGCATATGGTCTTAGAAAACAACACACAAAAAATTATACTATGAGTAAACCATAATCAGACAAAATAATTCATTTCAATATCACATTGACAAACAAAACAAAACATTACATGCCTCATAGACAATGCTGTTCAAAGCATCTGTAACATACAAAGTACGTACATTGAACAAATTGGCAAATACTCAGAACTTGTCCACAAAATAAACTGCCTGTGGAGATGGGTAAGATGATATATAATTAATCAGTTAAAATTAGTTTAATTCTATTTTTAATATTTTTATTAAAAAGTATTATTGTAAGTAGACCTAATAGTTATTTCCAAACTTACTTTATGTAAAATACTCATGTTTTTATTTCTAGCTGGTACAACTAAAAAATTTTCTGTTGTTAGTCCACATGGTAAGTCTATTTATAATAAGATAAAAATGAATTATATATAACAATTAATAGATAATATGCATTTTATACAAATTTAAACAGTTTTATAGGAAAATGTTTAGAAAGAGGATTATTTCAAATAGCGAGCTCCTTACTACAGTCAAGTCTGCATAAGTCGACACCCCAAGGGAAAGTGGAATTGTGTTGAGTTATCCGATGTGATGACTAAAACAAAGTTGAAAAAAACCACAAAACTATAATTAGGAAAATACAGTAATGCTTTATACAGTACATGCAATGTATCTCTCTGACTATCCATCACTAGCACTAAAGTTGGTTTCTACTCCAAGTACCTCAGCGATTTCTGTTGCTTTTTGTTTCAGTACTGGACCTGAAACAGGAAGATCCTTGAACGAATTTGCTTTAGCCAATATACCAGACCATCTTTAACATCTTTGTATGGCGACTTTCTCAGGTGTTTGAGATGGCTGCAACAAAGACCCAAGGAAAAGTTTCTTAATTTCCTCTTTTTCCTTCAGAGTTCTCACCAATGTTGTTTTTGGAAGATTTTCTTGTTTTGCAAATTTGGCTTGTGAAGTTTTATTACGTTCAAATTCAGATACAAATTTATATTTTTCCTTCAGCGAAAATGTTGTTAGGTTTTGAATACTCATTTCTAACAGAAATGTGAAACACTTGCTGCAAATAATGCATGAATAAAAGACGAGAAAATGCAAAATCAGATTCTGCTGCTGTTAAGTTGTGTGGCATGAACTCATTTTTTTCACAAGAGGAGTCAACTTATCATATGTCTAAACAAGTATGGGACAGGAAAAGTATGTCGATTTATCCAGTAGTGACAAGTTAAACAGTGTTGAGTAAACCATAGTTTTCTAACATTAATGGTATGTAAGTCAACCGGAACCATGGAAAACTGACTACTTAACCGACGGTATCTAGTTATACCTATGACGACTTATGCAGACTTGACTGTATTTATTTGCATGCCATTATTAAAATATGAGAATAGATTTCAAATACAATAAAGCCTCAATCTAGCATTTCTTGAGCTAACAGTATCCTCAATTTAACAATCATTTCATTTCGTCCTGATGAAAAACTTATATAATTATGAACTTTCCTTAATGTTTTTATTCAATTTACCAATCTTAGTTTTTGATCCTGATGGCACTTTTTGCCTCAGTCTGACATTTATTTTCTGATTAAGAGAAAATTTTGCTTTACTAACAATAATAGGATTAAAGTAAGTAGCCCTATTTTGATTTTTATCTAGTAACCAGAATACTCAAAATAGTCCACACAGCTCAAACTTGTGGCTAAATTAGCATTTTGTAAAAATTAGAATATACTTTGCATACTGCTATAGCATATTATTTGTTTTCAGAAGAATCAAGATTTTTCTCTGATGAGTTTCTTTTCATTTGTAAATTTGCTCTTCTTGATTAAAATTTCTTTTCTTAGTAAATTTGTTTTTGTTTATTGGTAATGAATCTTTTGATAAATCAAACAAATTTTTTTATAATACTTTAAAAACTGATAATGGTTAGATAGTGTAATATATTTTGACTTCTTTATTGAGAAAATGTCTACAAAACTTGTGGTCCTCACACTTGTTGAAAAAGGCAAAATCATATTATAAATAGAAAATAACTTACATGTGAAGCATGTACTCATGATAAAACATCTAAATTTTCCAAATTTAAAACTTAATATGATTATGGAAAAATATGATTTTGATAATGGAATATGCCAGCAAATGTAGGTCATTTGCCAAAGAATGAAAGAACAAACTATCATCATTTATGGAAATGAGGAGATTGCTGTGGGTGAAAGTGCAGGTATTATATTAGACATCATAAATCATTGAAAATATGTCACACTGCCTGTTCTTTAAAAGGATTATGCCACTCAAGACATTTACAATGCTGATAAGACTGGCTTATATTATAGATCAGTGCCTAACAAAACTTTTGAGTGTTTGGAGAAAATATGACATGGAGACAAACAAAGCTGGAAAAGAATTACAGAAGTATTGTGCATTTTAGCACAACACTACTGTAATTTTCATTTTACATTATTCTAAAAAAACTCAGAAAATGGAAGTCACTACATATGCAGAAGTGTACAACTGTCAAAAGAAGTGATAATAATTAATCCAGCTTTTATATCATGATTATTGATATTTTTTTCCATTAAGTGTTGTGAGTAACATAGACGAATTATCACAGATGTACATAGTTATATTTTTAAAAATGCAATCAGATTTGTATAAAATTATTGAACAAATATATAATTGTCTTTATTCTTACTAAATTCTGGAGATTAATTCAATTTGTCAAGTGTAAATAAAGATTTCTTTAATTTGAAAATCATCTGTTGAAGGGATCTCAGCAAATTCTTCTAAAGTTCTAGCAAAATACTCAAGTTTGTTTAGACTGTTTTAAACAATACATTGAGTTAGGTTTCTGTTCTCTTGTCCATGTAAATGGGGATAAATGTGACTTTAGAGCATTTCTGTCATAGCCACTTAAATAAGATTGAAGTCACCACTGATAGATATGGAGTTGGATTTATATTAAAGCTTGTGCAGTTTTACAGGGGACTTTTGGGGATGGCCACATAAACAAGGCCATAAATGGAGGTTTTACTGTATTTCCTTTTTAATTTTTTAATAATTCACTTAGATTACTTAATTTTCCATAATTGATATTTTTAAATTGCAATTATATTTTAAAGAACACTTAAGAATTTTTGTTATATAATAGTTTCTCTCATTAATTTTTAAATTTAATTAATAGAAAGTTTTTATTATTGATGTAATAAAATAAATGATCTTAGGAACTGAACAAATCCCTGACATAACAGAAGATATGAAAGAACAAAATGAAAATATGCCTGTTGTGAAACATAAAGATGTAGAATATATGGGAATACTTGAATACAGAAAAGAAGATGAGGCTGCCGTTATTAAAAATCTCATTTATGGTATTTATTTTATATATATTATAATTTATTTACCAAAAAATTTTATAATAATGCTACCATTAATAACTACTATAAATTCTTTAGATTTTAAACCTAAAATAGCTGTAACATTACTTCCTGGCTTACCAGCATATATTTTATTTATGTGCATAAGACATACTGATTATATTAATGATGATGAAAAAGTACGAAGTCTTTTAAATAATACTATTCAAGGAATTAAGAGAGTTATTAAGGTAATCTTTGATAATAAAACTTTTTTCTTTTAAAAATTTTTTACATTTTAATATACAGTCAACCCCCCTATAACATGGGTTCTTATAGTTCGGATTCCTGTATCACGGGGAAAAAATTGCAACAGTATTCATACAAACATGCTAAAAATCTCCTATAATTTGGTAAAACGTCATTGCTGACTCGTGTTGTGACAGGATTGGTCGAACCTAGACCAATAGCAGATATTGTACAAACCGTTGAGTTTAAATGAGCAGCAGACCTACTAAAAACCATTTATTATTTAACATCCATAAAAATTATATTTATATTAATGATGTCTCCAAAGTTCAGCAAATTTTTTGCAAAAAAAAAAAATTTATCAGGAAGCACGCGAGCACCATTTGATGACAAGTTCCACGACAAAAACAAGCTTAAGCAATGGCGTAGTCGAACGGTGCACACTCGGTAAGTAACCCTACAATTTTTTGTTTATAGCATAGTGTTTATGGATTATTCCCAAAAAATTATACATATTTTGAAATGTTGAGTCAAATTAGTCTAGAATCGATTAATTTTATGGAAGAAACCTTTCAAACATCTGTAGTCCGTAAACTGCATACGTGCCAGGCTGTGATTGGCTGGACTCTTAGAAAATGGATTCATAAAAACTGGAACATATCTACCGTGTTATAGGGGGATCGACTTAATATAATCTCTATATATAGTGTGCCTTGTACTTTGAACTTCATTCATTCTAGGAGGGTGTTTTTTGAACTCTGAATCATTCAAAGTCCAAATCAATTTTTTTCCATTAGAAATAATGGAAAGTGAATTAATTCATTTTCAGACCTGGAATAATACCCATTTGAATAAACTTAACATAATTTAAGGTAAAAATTAAATGCCTTAATGATAAATTAATACATGAAAACCATAAATAAAATACATAAATACTGTATAATAAAATGAAAACTATATTTATTGGTCACATACTGAGGACTGACCATCTTAATGTAGATGTGTGATTTAATTATAACAGTTGTGAAATTTAACATATTATAGATAATGTGAGACATTTGTTTAGTCTTACTTTAAACTCTACTTCACATTTTGTTTGAATAAAGTCAAGTCATAATGTTTTCAGATAAAAAGTGTATCAGACACATTATTTTTTACATTATGTTTATTGACTTTATACAATACATAAAATATTATACATTATGTTTTATGACTTTCAAATAGGATATAACACCATAAAAACAGTAAAAACAATTGTAATGTGTATGGGAAATTTTAAACATGTCAAATGTTGTTTAAAACATTGTGTTTGGGAAATTTGAATTAAAGGATACAAAACATACAGGGGTACCCCAGAAGCTGTTCACAAAGAAATATTTCAAGAAAAAATTGTTAAAAATAGATGAATAATACACAATACAGTATATCTAAACTTAAACAGACCAAAAATAAAGTGAAAAAAAATCACTGAAAACATACAAACATAATGTGAAAGCGAGAGATGACTTGGACACACAACAAATTGCATTTATGCTTTCAGCATATTTCTTTATTTCACACACAGTTTGAACTCTGAGCAGAATTTTTGTAGAATTTTTTGTTTGAACCCTGAAGCGATTGAAGTTAGTCATTCAGAATACAAGGTACCACTGTATATGTATATTTATTTATTTAAAATATTTTATTAATTTTATTACATATAAAAGTAAGTATTGACCTTATGATATAAAAATAAATATGACAAATTAAAAAGATTAGAAATTTTTTAATACATTAAATGTTAGAACTTTATAATGACAAAAATAGACTAATTAAAAATATAATTTATTGTTATATTCATATTTTAAATCTATTGATACATCTTTCAAATGATAAAAAGTATTATCATAAAGACTGTAAAGTTTACTGGGATGATAATTGGTTAATACACCAGTGGCGTGCCGTTATTGGAAGCGGTGAAAGCACCGCTTCCCTTGTATTTTCTAAAAAATAAATACATATTTTAATTATATGAAAATAATCGCACAATATTTTATTATAACTGCATTATTTACCTTATTACAAATTTCTATACTACATGTGAAAAAAAATAAGATTGCTATTGTATATTCAAATATTAGTGGCGGAGTGGAAGCGCTGTATCGTTAGTATCCAAAAAGCCAGATTCGCACACATGCTTTTACAGAGCACCAATCTTATCCTGTTTAGCTGGTGGAAGCTACACATGTAATGCTTCCAATTCTATCCAGGATTGATGTTTGCTAATAAAAGGCCATTTTTGCAATAAATTGGCTTTTTATTAGCAAGCATCAATTTCAGGATTTGTTTAAAGATTTAAATGTGATATTTCTTACATTCTTCTTTGTGTGACTTACCACTTTTTGAACCCAAGCAATTCAGTTACTCAATTGGAAAACTGTATTCAAAGGGTTTGTTTTATAGAAAGAATATTTCTTTTTGCTAATATCAATAAAAATGAAATTGAAGTTATAAAGCCTGATCAAGACAATTTCCTATGTGCTGGGTAGTAGGCATTCAGCATACACATGATGCCAATGCATATTTCATATGTATCCAGAAAGTGTATTTGCAGTTTTATGACTGTCAAGAATGAAACTAAATTTTGTTTCATTATCTCTCGTATTTTGTTCATAATTGTTTGTAAAAAAGCTTTATTATAAAAAAACTGTTTCAAACTCTAAAACATATAATTATAAATTTATGTATTTTATATAATTATAATAGAAATATACTTCATATAATAGATTACATATATACATCATAAATAGATTATATGATTTGTTATCTTTTTTACCTTAATATAAATTAATTTTAAAAAAGTAGACTTTATTGTTCAAATTCAACTTTTTTCTTAATTAAATTCTCAAATATGTTAAATATTTACAGAAACTGAAGCAATTTTTGAAATACAGTAATATAAAATAGATTTTTAAAAAGTTAATCTTAAACTTTTTAAGAAAAAAGAATAAATATAAGATTTTTTTAGTAAAAATATGTTTGAATATATTGTATTCTGTAAAATCAAATTATTAAAATATTAATAATTAATAATATTAATTACAGAAACGTCATGAAGATTTAGAATACACAACAATGTGGTTAAGTAATACTTGTCGTCTACTGCATAATTTAAAACAATATAGTGGTGATAAGGTAAAAATTCATTAGTAGTTCATAACTTAAATTTTCATATTTATTATTATCAATTTGTTTATATTTTTTAAAGAATTATTTTTTCTATAATTTAATTTCTGTATTCTCAAAAAAGTAGGCAAAAGTTTTCTAATGTGCATAATAAATATTTTGATATAGCTTAGCACTGTATTTTAGTTTATTTTTTAATGTGAGTTACCAGGGGCCAAAGGGTTACCAGGGCCATTTTGACCGCTTAGTCAGCAGTGGTTTGGTGAAAACTGTTCACATTGTCATCAGATTGCTCTTTGATAAATTGTCAGTGGGATGGCAAGGCCTCTCCAATGTTGGGATGCCGACACCAGTTAGGAGGGTTGATTTGAGTGGGGAGGTTGGTGAGTAAGTTGGTAGGTCCGTTCTTGAGGAAAACAGGCAGCTAGGTTAACTAATATAACAACAATTTAATAAAACAATAAAGCAAATACAAATACTAGCTGTGGTTACAATTANTGTGCCCTCATGTCTCTCACCCCACTAGGGATGATATATTGCCATAGTAGTTCATAACTTAAATTTTCATATTTATTATTATCAATTTGTTTATATTTTTTAAAGAATTATTTTTTCTATAATTTAATTTCTGTATTCTCAAAAAAGTAGGCAAAAGTTTTCTAATGTGCATAATAAATATTTTGATATAGCTTAGCACTGTATTTTAGTTTATTTTTTAATGTGAGTTACCAGGGGCCAAAGGGTTACCAGGGCCATTTTGACCGCTTAGTCAGCAGTGGTTTGGTGAAAACTGTTCACATTGTCATCAGATTGCTCTTTGATAAATTGTCAGTGGGATGGCAAGGCCTCTCCAATGTTGGGATGCCGACACCAGTTAGGAGGGTTGATTTGAGTGGGGAGGTTGGTGAGTAAGTTGGTAGGTCCGTTCTTGAGGAAAACAGGCAGCTAGGTTAACTAATATAACAACAATTTAATAAAACAATAAAGCAAATACAAATACTAGCTGTGGTTACAATTATAGGGATAGTAAAAGCGTACATCTAAGATTTGCGGTCCACGGACTCTATCCTAAATCCCAGTCTATGAGAGAGAGTTTACAATGAGTAGTTACTTATCCTACCTCTATCCTATCTGAAGAGAGAAGATCTGTTGAGGCTCAAATTGATATCGGTGCATAGCATTACTTTAAAAGGAGGATCCTTTGGAGAACTATGTGGCAGGACGACGACTTATATTTGTTTCATGAGTAGGTCCAATCTGTTTAGTGCTTGATGTCTACTCTGTATTATGCTAGATGAAGTCCACCATTGTCTGCCTTTTTCTATGGCGAGTAGAGGTTCTTCTTGGTGCCATTTAATCTGGAGAAGTTGCTTCCCAGGGACAAACACCCCAATGTGAGTGTGCTTCGTCCTTATATTTGTCTTTGGCCTGGAAAAACCCATCAGGTGATTGAGTGTTGTTGGAACTGAAGGTTGATTTTGCAGGTGTTGGTCATAGGTGAGCCGTCAATGACATTACAATGTCATTATATATAGCTACCATGACCATATTAGGCTCAAAACTTGTATGATTTCTTCTATTTATTTGTTCAACCCTCCTCCTTTAACAATAGTTTGTTCAATTTAACACTCGATTGTTATTATTCTCGAACAGTTGTTGATAGTAAAAGTGATATTCAATCCATTTTCTGTGCAATGTTTTCTTAATGATTGTGACAGAGAAAGAGGCTTAAGAATTTCCTTAATTTAGTGCAAAATGACCTATGATCCTCACATTAACAATAAATTATGTTCAGTTTTCAGTTAAATTAGAATATTGCTAAAAAACATTATAGTTTTTTAAATTATAGTTCTTAATTTAACTTAGTGTCACTGAACTATCATTAAAGAATGAAAAATTATTTTTTAAAATGTTAGCTTATTTATGGAGAATTTTAAGAAGCTGAAATGTTCTTTGAAACATGTTTATTATTTAAAATATGTGACAAAAGCTACTGACAGGCAAAATCTGCATCACTCTTCATTATGTATATTCTAAATACATTCACAACTTATATAGAAATTTTGATATAATGATATTCTAGTTTTGTTTTTGAAATAATTTTAATCTATTGATGCCATACAAAATGATATAAGAATGGCATCAATAGATTGTTTTAGGAAACAGATTATCAATTTAAAGTAACTTAGCATTGATAATCTTCATTTCTTCTTACAGAAAAATCAAGTAGATGAAACAAATTTTACATGAAAAAGTTCCATCTGTTATTTGAGTTCTAAAATACTTACATATTAAATTTTGAATCATTTAGACACAATGAATTCTTCAATATGATGATACACCCATATTAGCAAGAAAGTTATACAGCAAGGAGGAGGCGTTGAAATTGAATAGGGCTTTATTATTGTGAATATAATGACTATGGGAATAAGTAATGATAATATCATAACAATGAGATAATTTCCTATGGAATAACAATACAATTTAAAGGAACTTTTAACAACTTTTAGGACCTTTCTTACTTGGATATTCAACAATACAGTCATGCATAGAAGCATACACGCACTGTATGATGATCTGTGATGGATGATGCAACAATTCAGATCCCTCATACTTGTAGAAGCTGAAGTTGGTATCTCATCTGGTTCTGTAAATGCACAATGGGCAACAAATTGCCAGGCAGGCCAAGAAAGTATGGCACATGATAGCCATACATGAAGACATTCCTGGAAAACCTTAGATAGGTTTTATTGTGCTGGAAAATGGCTGTTTGCAGTTCTGCCATGAGGGCACAGGAACCTGAATATGTATTGTGCAATATGTTCAGGAAATCCTGTGCCCTCATGTCTCTCACCCCACTAGGGATGATATATTGCCATACAAGATGGGTCCCCAGACCAGCATGTCAGCAGTGGGGATAGTATACTGCACAAAAATAAAGAAGAAATTGAAGCACTCGCCAGTGATTCTCCATACTAACACAGTGGTTGTCTGTTCCCAAACAGAGCCTGAATTCATCACTAAAAAATAACACATTACCAGACCATCAATATAATCTTTATTAACAATTGCCCAGCACTGCAATGCAAACCAGATTAAATAAGAATTAGAAAATAAATTTTATGTACAGATCAAAAACAAGATAAAACAACTGATAAAAGTACAATAAGATATGGAAGCATAAATCAAAAATAAATTATACAAGATTACCATATAATATGATAAAAAAAACACAGAAGATTGTGAGGACAGAGTCAAAGAGATTATTGAGAATTGTTTACATTCTTGAGTTGGAATTCTTCTGATATAATGTCTTATTAGTAGCTATTCTAAAGCATGATACACTTCATTGTTAGACAGAAGCTGGTGATGTTTGCAAGGTCAGCTAATAATAGAGCACTGAGTATAAAGTTTAGCCTCAGCTTAACATCATTGAGTGTAGGACAATGAAAAAGGTAATGCTACAGGTCATCAGTAACATCACAGTTAATGCAGAGGTCATTAGTATGTTTACCAAAATGAAGAAGGTAAGACTGAAACTCACTGTGATTGGACAGAAATTGTTATATTATGGTTTGGATATGGCCAGTGTCTATTGAGTATAGTTGGTAATGTTGAAGATAACTCTCCTAGTGATAAGATTCTCATCAGGAACCACAAAGGAAGATGATTTTATAGAACTTTCTATAAAATTATGAATTTCTATAAAAATCATGAATTACACTAATGATATGATATAGGATATTGGAGTTATTTAGAGAATGAATTGTGACAGTTATTTGTTGCATTCCTGGCTAAGGCATCTTCCTTCTCATTGTCAAGAATACCAGCATGGTTCTTGACCCAGACTATGAAGTAGTGGTTAGAACTTTCTATAAAATCATCATGAATTATACTAATAATATGATACAGGCTATTGGAGTTATTTAGAGAATGAATTGTAAAAGTGCTGTCAGTGTATTTGGCAACTTTTTTGTTGATGAAGGATTGATTGTGCAGATAATGGCTTTATAAATGGCTAGGTGTGCAGCCTAAAAAGTGGAGCAGGTTTGGTTAAGGATGTAGAATCGAAAGTAGAGTTTGGTTGTTCCTTCAAGGGACCACAAACACACAACCAACACCAGAAACAAATTTAGAATCATCAGACAAGATGCTGATGCAGTGAAAATTATAGAACTACAATCCACAAGTCACCTGATAAGTAGGGTTTGTCGGATCAGTAAGTTTAACGGGGACTTCATAATTTGACTTGTGAGTGAGTGTATGTTATTTCATTGTGATGGTTGTGAATAAATGATTCAATCTGTAAAGCCTATATCTGTTGCAGTTATAAATAATCTGTAGGTCTATGGGGAGTTTTTACTAATAACACAGGTCTGCAAAAAAAAATTTTTTCCAGCTGCATGGAATATTTTTGCTGAATTATATGTTTTAAAGATTGCAGATTTTAAAAATAACTTCCATTACATTCCACCACATAAAGGTTTTTTGCAAAATAAAAACAAATTTTTGATAAAAACTCTTATAATATATTTAGTTCATTTTTTTTTTTTTTTTTTGATGCTTCTCCAAACTCGTTTCCGAATTCCTTCTCTGGTTTCTCGATTAAGCATCCAACAGTATTCAGCTAATATATTGACATCCCATTTTCCTTGATAACATCTTTCGATATCACAGACATCCTGATGAAATCTTTCACCCTGTTCTTCATTGTAGGCTCCCAAGTTTTCGGGAAGTTAATATGGGAGTGTAAGAAATGAACTTTTAAGCTCATCTTGCATCCTTGAGCTTCATATGCTGCTGCCAGCATGCATTGTACAATGGTTTTGTAGTCAGGGTCCTTAATATTCCCCAAAAACTTATGCACTACATTCTCAAAAGAGTTTCATGCTTTTTCCTTTTCTCCCATTGTTTCAGAAAATCTGCTTTGTCTTGATCTCCAAGTTTCAATTTGAAATATGCAAATTAAACTTTCTTCACAAACTCACTTGTGTTTCTTTGTTGACTTTTCACTGTGTTTTCACCACAAACATAACAGAAGCTGTCAGGAGAAATTACACAACCTCTGCAAGCCATATTCCAGAAATAAAAATATAAGCACAGTAGTGTTTGAATGCTGGATATAAACTGAGTGTGGCATTAGATGGCCAGTGAGATACTGAACTTATTTAGTTTGTTTAAACATGATCCTAGTTTCCCATCCATTTATTCCTAGATCCATTTATTCCTAGTATCCCAGATAACATGTTGAAACACGCTCAACCTCACCAATAATATTACTCACTATCAACTTTTAACCTGTTTCTATACAATTGTGCGACCTTCCTCAACACTAAAACTACTTAACCCACTTCCCCCTATCACTACTCTCTTCAACCATTAACATTTTTATTTATTTATTTATTACCAAGTCCAGCTATAATTGATAGAATTAATGTGAGAAATCTTCATTTTAAGGTCATTTTTTAAATAAATAAAAAAGAATACTAAATTTTAAGTTAAGTAGGAATTTTATGCTAAATACAAACAAAAACTTGAGTGTAACAAAAGAAATTGATGAGATGGAATCTTTTTGATTTTTTATTTCTTTTTACCAAGTTGAAATCTGTAAGAAAATGTATAAAAATCCTATGCAGTTTTTTACTTGCAGACCTGTGTAATCTGAAGACTATTATTAGTGATAATGGCGTATGCTTTGGTAAGTTGGATGAGAACTTTCCTCTGAGTAGATTGGAATTTCCTGAAGTTACAAATTTTTTCACAGGACTTTCTCAGGCAGAGAATACAATACAGGTAGTGGAAATTAAAACAGCATCATAAATGGGGTTTAATTCATCATGATTTAGGTGCATACCAGCCATACTTCTCTTTTATGGCACTATTCAAATAAAGCCATCAATGTTGGAATGCTAATAGCAAGCTGCACAGCAGTTGCTGAGCAAACAAATTTGCCTCTACTAGTCACCTTCCAATGATACAAGAAAGGATATTAGATCAAACTAAGAATTTTGGAATGTGGTCAAGTGAAAGAGTTTGATGGAAAAAATGGTTGGAAGGAGAGTTATTTTTCTAATGATGTAGAGAGGTTCTAAGCTTGTTTAGAAAGAACAAAGGATTTACAGTGTACTCTATGAACCAATGATTGGTGTGTGATGAAAAAAACAAGAGAAGAAAGTTTACCACTAATGTTTTTGAACTCCCAAGTTCTTTGGTATATTTACTACATCCCAGTGTTGTTTGTTATTGTTTAATAAAGGATTTGTTATTTATATTTTTTATTTATATTAGTGGAATCTGGCTTCTAGATAAGGACGTTTCACAGAAAGAACTTCAAAAAATTAACTAGCTATAGTTTGTCATGTCAACTTAGAGGAGTTGCAGAATGATCATTTAGTTTATGCTTAGGAAATTGTGGCTGAAAACTGAGGAGAGTTGTAATTTAGCCATGTCTGTGAGACAATTAAGTAACCATCATTATTATAGAAGACACTCTACATTAAATTGTATATTCTGAGTGTGAAATCAGTACTTTTTTGATATTTCCTCCAGTTTGAATATTATCTTCATATGTACATAATTTACAAATTAACTTTTATATCTATTTACATGTAAATTACAGTGTCTGTATTGGAAAAACTTTTTTGAACTAAATGAATGCTAGCAATAAATGAATGCTAAATAAATAAATAAATGAACTAAATGAATGCTAGCAATAAAAAACTACCAGAAAATAGTGTAACAAGTTTTTACTCATTCACAATTTTCTAAAAGCTTCCAAGTATGTTGTGTCATTATTAGGATCATTGACTACCATAAGCTAGTTTTCACAATTTCTTGCCTGTAATTTATAGTAGCAATTTTTCATTGACAAAGAAAGTTTCTCATATGATTTTAACAAATTTGCATTTTCATTTATTTGCTTTCTTAGCACATCAACAATGAAATATACAATTTGCAAGGACATTTAATAATCAAAAAGAAGTATTTTCAAATCTAGGAAAGAAATTAAACAATTCATTATAAAAAAGTACAATAAAACTTTAAAATTCAGAATTATAAAATACAGTCATTTTCTAACTCATGGAAACTGAATGTAATGTATTAAAAAAAAAAAAAAGATTATTTTAGAGTTCAAACAATCAGTTGCACTTGCTTACAGAAAAGTATAACAATTAAACACTACATATAATACTTTAATGGGCAGTCAAAGTTGAAGATGAAATTACTATAACTTTATACAGAGCTGCAAGATTATTATTTTAATTACACATTTATAATAAAGTAAATTAATAATAAATAAAAATAATTAATAATGAAAATAAAACAATCTTCACATAAAATGCAAAGCTCTCTCAGTATGATTTTTGGTGACTTTGAAAATGGCTTTTTTCTGGTGTTTTATGTATTAATAAAATATCATAATTAAATCACCTCTCTACATGAACTTTTTTCATCTGTCATTGGAGCAGACTTTCAAGTTCCTTCACATCAATAGTGAAGAAATTAAGTCACCATGTCAATAAGATTCAGTCTTCTTGGTTGAGATGCGAGATCAAACACTCTTAATCATTATCATCTAACTAAAACATCTAATGCTAAGCCTAAAACATTTTAAAAATAAGATTGGCTTTGAGATGTTTGTTGGAGTACTGATTGATGTATAAATAACACTATATATGTATTCTATTCATAAGCGGAAATGAATGGATCCATAGACACTTTGTCTTCTGAATCCTCTCAACATGTAACAACAAGAAGACATCCTGTCACATTTATTATGTCAAGAAGACTTCTTAACATCAAAAAAGCAAAATAATTTTAGAATTTTTTGATGTTATGGAAAAATAGTTGCAAATCATAAACAACAGCACATCCACACCATTTAAAGTAAAAGTCTTTAACACAAAATCTGCAGATTATATGCAGAAAATTATACTATCTTTTTGAATTTGTAGTTTTAGTCTAAGGAATTTCACATGGATGTTAGTGTTGACAACTTGGCAACAGTAAAGGAGGGATTATGACAGACATTATCATAATCTCTCCTTTACTGTAACAGAAAAATGTCGCCATAATCATGCTAGCTGAGAAATGCAATTTACAAGAGAGTTTAAGAATGACAATGAAGTTATTTCTGAAGTACAGAGATGTGCAGAATGATACTATGCATATACATTTGTTGATAGGTTTCTTTTCAAACTGATAGCATTATACTATGTACAAAAACAATTTCATATCCAAAAGATCAGATAATGATGAGATAAGCTTGAAGTTTAAAAAAGTAGCAAATGAGAAAAACATTTCTTGTGTTATTTTTAGGCTATCTTTGTAGATTGAAAATTCTTTTATACTTTATTCCAGATATATTACAGGTGTTGCTTTATTTTATTATTAAAATTATTCAATTATCTAGGCAACAATTTATTTAAAAAATTGAAGTACATCAAAATTTTTTTTTCAATTGATCTTCATAGAATAATTTGGAAGAAAAAATATTTTTTTCTTCCAAATTATTCTATGAAGATCAATTGTATTTTATTGTATTTACTTTTTACACAATAAAATATGAAAATTTTAAGTTGCTATGTGAAAAGACATTCATAGCAATTTATATCAAAAATACAATTTAACCAAAAAGTTGATCTTTAAATTTCCATAATAACAACAATTTCTAAAACATCAACAAAGTCCAAACTACTTTTTAAACTTTAGGAATTAGCAAGGTTCATAAATTTTGTATAATATATGCTTTTAACATTATTAAATATTAATGTAAATAACTTGAAACAACAAAGTATCTGAAGCTTGATTTTTAATTTAGGCTTTCCAAACAGAAAATACCCCTAGACAGAATGAACAATGTTTACGAAATTTTGATCTTTCTGAATATCGTCAAGTATTGAATGATGTTGCTGTTTGGATATATCAAGCAGTGATCAAAATACAGGAAGAAAGAATTCAACCTTTAATTGGTAAGTGAACTTTTTAAAGAGTATTTATTTGATTTGATAAAATAATTACAGTAACATATATACCAATAAACAGCTTTAAAAAATGTACTATATCACAACTGAGTATATTCAGGCATGGTCGTTTCAAGCCACTGTGATTACCATGAGTATACTTGGGTGTAACCTTGAATGGGTTAAGAGTGATTGATTAATAATTCCAAAAAATGTATAGTGAGTGAAGTGAGGTCATATGGATTATTGTTAATCATTTCCAAGACTAAGTTAACATTAGTTTTCTGGTTCTACAATATAAAGATGTCATCATCGTATCTCAAATACAATATGATATGCTGTTGAAATTCAGGAATATTCATTCTAATTTTTTCAAAACGAATTCACATAAAATCCCAGAAAGTGGACTTTCCATCAGGACACTAATTTTAGATATGTCGTGTTGTTGAAAGCAAAAATTGATGAATAAAACATCAGATTAGCCAATTTCAGTATGTCTTGATGAAACATATGTGGGTTGTTAACATGATTAAAGAGAAATCATGCAAATGACAAAATCATGACTATTTTAATTGAGAGATATTAACAATTCAAAGTCCAATATTCCCATCCATCAATGTGATGCTACTTAATCTAATGTGCTAGTCTGAAACAGTGTAATGGTATTGCAGTAAACTCTCTGAGATGATTCTTAGTACTTTATGCTTCAACAAAGTAGCCAGAGAAGAGCTTTTGTTTAATACCAGTCTCAACTGCATTCCTCCTTTGTAGGTTTTAGAAAACCTAAATTTAGGAATAGCTGGTAGGATCATGTTCCCAAGCCCTAAGGCTTTAGTCAAAGAAGGTGAAAAAATTTAATTATTGTATACTGTAAGGTATCTGTCATTTTAAGGTGTAACTTCACATTCATTGTTTCTGATTCCAGAAAAATGAATTTTTTTTTTGTCATCCGCACTACCACCTTGGTCTTATCTGCTTTAACTTCCACTAAATCATCTCATGTTAACCAATCCCTGCTTTTCCTAACATCTGACCAGATAGTAGTATCATTGTAATTGTGCACAGTTTGTCACATTGTAATACATCATTTATCAAGCTGGAACTAAACCCGATGAAATGGCATTACATAAAACAATGAAAGACAAGGATTAGTCAGTTGCCAGGCCTGAACTTTGGAAAGGGCATAAATAGCACAAATAGATTAGTTCAAAACAATACTTAGTGCAACAAAAGTCCAAAAAAGAATTGACTATGCTTCAATAGAAAGAAGAATTTATTGAAAATGTTAGAAATGAACTAGGTACAAAGGCATTAAAAAAAACACAAAACTATGTTAACAATAATAAACCACACAAAAGTTATAAAAATCATAACTGTAATTAGTCCAAATCAAAAATAAAACCAAAACTAATTTTCACAAAACTTTCCAGACAATTGGAGGATTTAAATCTAACTAATTCACCACAAAAACCAACAAGGTAAATTAGATACAGATTATTTACAAACAAAAGAAAGACTCATACAATCTAAACTGCCTAATCATCACACCAAAAATGCCAGAAAATCCCTTCATTGATAGAACTCAATTCAGAAATTGCTTTACTTGCTTTCAGAAGCTTCACCTTGCAATTTTCAGCTTTATTGTGTTTTTATTCATCTCAGGTGTGACATCACAACTAGGGATTGCAATCCAGCAGTGTTTTTAATCCAGCTGGATCCAGTACAGATGTATTTTTGGTGCAATAAAGTGTTATCTATCTATCCAGAAATTTATGAGTTTTTTTTAAAGAAATAAAACATGTTTTTTTTTGAATACTTAAGAAACTTTTATTATTTAGACTGGTCACTATAAATCAGTAAAACTTCTTACACATTTAGGTTGTAAACTTAACTTTGGTTTGGTTTAACACTTGAGATAGAGATAATTAATTTTCAGTGTTTAGTTAGATTATAATTATAATGTAATCTTTAAGTTAAATAGTAGCAAAGGTAATTCTACTAATTAATTTATATTAATATATTATATTATAATAATGTAAGGATGGATAATCAGTGGCTAAGTGGCTATCAGTCTTACCAGTTTTCTTATATAGGCTCTACATATCAGTCTGTAGTTATTTATAAGTAATTTAATTATTAGTGTGTGGCCGTCAGCCATAGTTTTATATGTATTTTTGTTAATTTTAGTTAGGCTTAGTATCTCCTCTGTTCTTTTGTATTAACTGTTCTAGAACTTTCTCCCTTAATCCCTATTCCCTCGGGTGACATCACCGATTCTGTGAAACAATGTCAAGAAGACAAAAGGAGCAATAACCCCCTGGAGAGGAGGTGAGGTGAAAGAAAGGAGAAGTGGCTGCGATTTCGTCGAGAAAGGACGAAAACGAGTGTGGTTCTGACCGAGGGGTCAAGAAAGAAGTAAGAAACCTTGCGATAGAAAACCGAAGGAGGATCATACCCTGATCGCATAGTGAGAGATCAGAGGTATCGGAACCTTGTAAGACGGCTGAATTATAGAGGAACGTAGGGCAATTGCTAAAGAAATCGAGTTCCCCCATGTTCAAGTAACGGCAAGCGGGAAGACCACAAGACAACTTCAGAAAACGTAGACGTTCATAAGAGGAAAGAAAATAAGGTCTGCAGTCATTAAGAATTTCAAGACGGTGAATCATCCGAGACCACGTGGCAGAAAACTCCCGGGTATTTTCTCCTTTATTCTACTACTATCCCTATCTATATTTTATTTCTCCTTCCTTAGTTTGTAAGTAGGTTAAGTTTAGCTATAAGTCGTGTGTCGGTTGCCACAATAGAGGCTTGTTTGTGTAGACGATTATTGTATGTATACGAACCCAATAGTCTGTAAGTTGGAATCATTTTAAAGAACCTGTGTTTGATGAATAAAAAAAATTTTGTATTTTTACTCGTTTTATATGTTTTTTGTCTGCAATAATATATTGCCCTCAAACGAAACATCACAAGTGTTAGTAAAGTAGTGAGTAAGTAATTAGTAGTAGTCTAGTAGTTAGCTGATTGAAGACTGGTGATCAACTCATTGATCAGTGACCACTCGTCAGCAGAGAATTTAGTGTCTATTAAAGCTTTATCGATGCAAACTTTTACACTGTAGAAATGTTCCAGCATGCTGAGGAGACTGTTCCACTTAGTGCGGCAGTCAAGAATCAAACTCAATTCTTTCTCCTTTGCTTCTTTTACATATTTTTGCAAAAACATATCATCTTTGGTTGGTGATTTTTTTTAAAGTTGTATTCTGTTGTCAAGTGTAGGTAGGCCTCAGGGTGGAGAGAGAAGTGGGCCATGATGTTGTTCTTTGAGTCAATGAAAGCCGCAGTCATGGTGTTGGTGGTTTTTGATCCGTCAGTGGCAACAATGGTGTTTATATTTTGATGGGCTACCCATTTATTAAAGACGTAGTACTAGCTGACTGCGAGCGATAGTGAGCATGTCGGCATCAATATCTGCCAGACTGCCTGTTAAACACATGATAGGCTTAGTGGAGAGAGTGATGTGACTCCCTATCATCGTGTGATCGCTGGAATAAAGTATGAAAACTTTCTTATTTTTTGTCTCCAGTAAATTATCGATTGAGCTGAAATAAAAGGTTTTCCATTAGCTAGTGACGGTCATCTCCTGGAGGGATAGGTTAGCTTTCATGGACAAGCCGCAAGGCTGCAGCTCCCCATAGGCTTAAACTGTGATCATTCCATCATGTGATTCATTGACGTCATAACCGATCATAAATTAGAATTATGCACCAGGACTAGGAAAGGAGTTACTTATTTTATTTAGCGCAAAGACACTTTATTTAGCGAGAGCGGAAAGTCAACTGACAATTAGATCAGCAGAGGTAAAAGGGTGGGCGGTGCGGTGTAGAGGGGGTGTAGCACGTGCTGCACTGAACAGCAACGTCGCTCTCACTGCTGAGTGATAGCTCACATAGCAAAGCGGCAATGCTGACAACGTAGACTTTTGCATCATTTTTTAGAAAGTTAATTGAGTATTTGCGGATCCACAGCGCTGGATCCAGCTGGATTGCTGGATGAGGGATCCAGCAATTACAATCACTAATCACAACTGAATGTGTCACTCTATCTCATTTATATATGTACATACTAATAATAATAATAATTCTTTTTGTTTGTAATGTCTTTTATAATAGTCATACCAATTTTTTCAGAAAAGAGTTTTTGATTTTTTTAAAAATCAGTAACAGAGGGATTAAAAGACAGTTCTTTAACTCCACTTGGAGATTGCTTAATCAAAGATGTCATTTTGAGATTGGCAATGTGAGTATCAACCATGTTAACAGCAAGGTTTTACCATTACTTTAAATTTTGTGCAGGAAAGGTGAGGAGTTTTTGTCTTTTAAACAAAATAAAAAGTTTCCAAAACAATAACAATAAAACACGGAAAATAAAAGATAATAACCAGACTTGATTCCTTACAATATATTAAAAGAAATCTTCCACCTAAAATATTTTTATTGCATCCATAGATTTAAAGTTGATTCTTCATATTTTTGATTAACTACTACCATTAATATAGTAGCTCTACATATTTTTTCAGTTGTTCTTAGCAGAAGTGTTCTTGTTATTGGTATGACTATTCTTGATTCTTTTCATTTAAATTTTATGTAATTACATATAAACTGAGTCTGACATATAATAATAAACAAATGATAACCTGATTAAAATCTGATGGTATTATATTCCAACTAAAAACACTATTATTTGTTTAACTTCTACATTTTTATTTAATGTGCAATCAAAGTAGTTGTTGTTTTTATATTTTTATGTATGCCTGTCATGTGTTTCTTAAAACTTTTTCTAAGATTCAATGTGTGCTACCTATATATTTTTTCTTTGCCTCTTGCATTTTGTATAAATGGTATTTCATAATCCATAACCTTTTTCTACCGATGGCAAAAAGTTGGATTTACATACATCTCTAGAGAGAAGAAGGTTTATGATTGCCATACAAGACAAAGTCATTGTATGGCAATCATAACACCAAAAAAAAAAGACAGAAATCACATCTGAAAGACTTATCAGATTGTAAGCTTTATCATATACAAACTACTTATATAATTAAATAATAATGCATGAAAAACTGAAAAACAAATTGTTAGATACACTACCATACTACAAATATGCATCATAATCAGTCTTAGAGAACAACATACAAAATATACTATGTCTCAGCCATAATCAGACAAAAGAAGACAAAATTACACAGAGCATAGACATATCCACACAACATACAAAATATATATATATACTGAAAAAAATTGATAAATATTCAGAACTCAACCTTAAAGTACATATGGAGAATGGCTAATTCTTATAGTTCACTCTTACAAAGGAATTATATTACATACATTACACAGAAGTCTAGCATATTAGATCTTAATAACAGCAAAGACATCACTGTAGAAAGCAACATTAAACACATGTCACACAGTCAGATTTATTACTAAGTTAAAAGCATATAAAGTAACAGTTTTTTATTAGTTATGTTTCAATGTTTCAACCATGGTCTGGCCTAGATTAAACACTGGTGTCAATCAAGTAGGATACAATCTACCAACAGCAATAATAAATAATAATAATATGAAAATATTATTTTAGTTGCAGCAGTTCTAGAACATGAAGCAATTCCTGGTATATCTGGTAATCGTCCATCTGGAATGAGAAGTAGATCATCAAGTGTTGCAAGAGAATTAGACTCCCCAATTGATCCTCAAAGAGCCTTAGATATTTTAATAAGAGAGGTAAATTATATTCAGTTATTTTTACAAAGTATTCTTGTTAATTTTCAAAGTAAATATTAGTTTTAGAATTATGTTTAATAACATTTTCTTTTAGATTCAATATATATAAAATATATATATATATGATTATATATTAATTTACAGGTTTATCATACATCATGAGACACTATTATACTAATTTACAATAGTATATACAATTTAAATAATTTAGTGTCTAAATTGTATGTACTAAATTGAATATTGTATCGTGTGTGATAAGCCCAAAAATTCAAATACAATATAATAGTATAATATATATATAGTCGGGCAAAAAGTTGTTTAATAATAAGATTTTCTCATTTCACTTTTTATAGACACAGTAAAGCCATTTATAAGCAAGCCACAAAATATCAAATAAGTTTTAATTTCAGAAAATTTTCTAGCTATTCAAAGAATCTTATTGTCTACTGTTCCTCAAATGTGATATAATGAAGGACTATCAGTATTTAATGTTTAATATTCAGTAATATTATTAGTTGTAATATACTGCAAATATTAGAGATTGAAAATAGTTAATTACAGTCAACCCCCCTATAACGCGGTAGATACGTTCCACTTTATAAGAATTTCACGTTGTAGGAATCCTTAAATACATGAGCCAATCACAGCCGGCACATGTGCAGTTTACGGACTACAGCTGTTTGAAAGGTTTTCTTCCATAAAATTAATTGATTCTAGACTAATTTGACTCAACATTTCCAAAACATGTATAATTTTTTGGGAATAATCCGTATAAACTATGCTATAAACAAAAAATTGTAGGATTACTTACCAAGTGTGAACTGTTCAATGCTTAAGCTTGTTTTCATCGTGGAGCAGCACACCGAATGGTGGGCGTGTTTTCTGATAAGTTATTTTTCTGCGAAAAATTCACTGACCTTTGGAGACATCATTAATAGAAATAATTTTTATGGCCGTTGAATAAGAAATGTTTTTTCACAAGAAATGTATAAAATTACAGTACCTAATTTATATACTGTACAGACGATATTAAACTCAACTTACCTGCCTAAACTCTCTGTAGCGTGTAAGTAGTTCGGCAGCTCGTCCACTATTGGTCCAGATTCGACCAATCCTGTTGCAACACGAGTCGGTGATGACGTTTTACCACATTTTATGAGTCTCTTTTAGCATCTTTATACGAATACAGTCACAATTTTTTGCCGCGATATACGAATCCGCATTATAAGGGAGTCAACTGTATTATTGTGGTTTTCTTTTAAACTTTTTCTGAAATTTAAAATTGTATTGTACTTAACAATAATCAAATGATTTTATGCAAGTTGTTAAATATATCACTGTTGCAAGTTATGTGTTCACAGATAGTGAGTAGGATACCTTACAAGTAACTTTAAAAATCATACACGACTACTTTGATCTGTTTCAAAGTCATACCGAACCAAAAAGTGGCGGGCTTGATAAAAGACGTCACGTCAGGCCGTTTATTTATTATAAAAAATAATACAAAGGTTATATAACACAAATCATTGCTACACACATAGGTAATGACAGGAGAGAAATTTAACACAAGTATTCAGTTATTACTATTTGTTTTTGTCAAATACCACATTGTGTATTGTACGTGTATTTTTTTTTTGTGTGTATGTGTGTGTATTAATATTTTCTGCTTGTACATAAGTAATATGGTTGTCTTGTCTTTCCAAAAGTCTCCATCCAATCATATTATATCAGATAATGGGCCCAGGTACAGCCAAAACTATTTGCTTAAATTGCTAAAACCATTGACTGAAAAAACAGAAATGTTACACAGTGGTAGAGTGGAAAATTTTACCATCCTTGACAAACTGAAATAAACCCTCCCCATAAGTATATTAATACAAGTATATAAAAATATTTTTATGCTGATATCTTAAGCCTAGAGTACTTCAATCTAAAATAAAATATAATATAGTTTACGTATGATAACCAATGTGTATGTTATGATAGATCACTTACATATGTTATCTATTGCCTACATATATAAATTTTCCGCAGTGTAAATCCAATGATAAAAATAGAGATTAAAATTATCTATTCATTATTGAAATAAAAGTATATCTTTATTTACATATATTTATTGAAATTTTTTAATTGTATTTTCTAGCTTACAACATTTTTTCGAATTCTGTCAATTCATGCTGTTGATCAAGAATTGATTTTTCAAGTTTTTAAACAGGTAATTAGTCTATTTGAATAAGTTTTATTTAATAAAACTTATTCAAATAAACTGTTTTTAAAAACTTACTCAATAAAGTTGATATTTTAATTATTAAATATTTAATGAGTATTTATTTTTAAAATCTTTTTAGTTATTCTATTTTATATGTGCGGGATCTCTGAATAATTTACTGTTGAGAAAGGATATGTGTCACTGGTCTAAAGGGATGCAAATCAGGTGAGTAGGAATGAAAAACTATAACAGTTTGATAAGTAATATTTATTTTCCATCTTTTCTATTCTTTAACAGTTACTTAACACTGTATAACAGTTAATGATCTATTAATTATAGAACTTCTGGTATATTAAAGAATTGAAATGTTTTTGGCGTTTTCTGTCTTCAGAAAGCATTCTCTATTTTCAGGGGTGAATTCTTTGGGCTTGCTTAGCATGTGCGGCATGCTTAAGAGAAAGTTTTGACTGTCATATGAGAACAAATATGACAATAATAATTTATTCTAACATGTAAACTTTTTTATCATTTGTGTGTGCTTTTACATTAGTGGCTAGCCATTTTAAGTCAGTGCGATGCTTGCAGGAACTCGATCGCTTGCTCATGTGGAGATTTGCTGCAGCAAACAAGTGCATGCACATGATGTAATTTGAAGCATTTAACACAGCCAGATTGTATCGAAAGCTTGCAGTACGCAGTCAGCATACATGTATTGCTACATAGGGACTAATAGGACTTAAGCTCTGGGCCTCCAGTGTCAAGGGCCACAAAAATTGAATTATCAATTTTATTATCATAAATTTTTAGTACTTTTTCATTATAATATTTCATGTGTAGATATAATGGGCTTTATAAAATTCCATACTTTTTTATTCACACTAAATAACATTTCTGCCTATTGTTTAGTGCTAGAGATAGGCCTATTATTCTTATTATAAGTTTCAGCATGCCCAAAAATTTTGGTCAGAATTTGCCCCTGTCTATTTTAAACAAAAGTTTTCATAGTTAGAATTTCATATTAGCTACTACAACTCAGCCAGGAAAATTTATCACATATTAAGAATAGAAATTTTCCATCATCACACATTATTAATGAAATTACTTCCACAGTCTGGCAAAAGACATAAAGATTGAGTTAATAATCTAATGCATTTATATATCTAATTCAATAATAGTTGTAAATAATAAAATACATTTATTAAAATAATGCAATTTTACTAATGATACATTTTTTTATTATTCAAGTGAAAATAATAATAATCATATAATTTGTAGAAAGCAAAATCTTTGTTCTTCTTATAAATACTGTAGATGATAAAATAAGGATTTGATTACAGCAAAATTATTATAAATTGTTGCATATACACTTATGGCCATAATTTCAGGAATTCACAAGTATACATATTAGCCACTGCTGTAAAGAAACAAAATGCAAGTAGAAATGCTTTCAGGCAACTTCTGAAGGGAGTGATGTAGGTGTGTTTAAATTTACTGATAAGGGAATGGTGTAAAAGTATTTTCCATCAGTTCGGGCAATTGGCATTGTAAGATCTTGTTATTGCATTGTATACACAAACGATGTTATCACCTTTAAATTGCAAAAGACTACTTATAGGCAGTAATTATGACTTAAAGAAGACATGTTGATGACATTATGCATGGTAGGATTATTGGGAGATTAGAGGCTGGCTGGCCAAACTCAGAGACAAATGCCACAGGAACTGAATGCATTATCTGTAGGCTTTGGCAATGATTCCAATGTGACCAAGGTGTTTGAAGGCAATACAGTAAAGATCATGTCACAACTGATATGTAGTCATAAATGCCGTATGCCACCCCACCAGCACAGCAAGCAAACTGCTTACAGATCTCTCAGCAGCATCAGGTATCACTGTGTCAAGACAAACAATTTACAGACAGCTACAGGACATCAGCCTATATGCCAGGCAGCCTGCAGTAGTCATTTCTTTAACTGCACAGCACATGTTGATCTGCAGAACAGAGTGTACTGAACACCTTGCATGGACCTGAAATGATGTGCTTTATTAATGAGTCCCATTACAATATAGAAACTAATAGTTGATGAGTGTACATCTGGTGATCCTCAGACGATTATAAATCTGCCCACACTGTTAAATGTAATTGTTCTTGAGGTGGAGCCTTTGTTTGGGGTGGTATTGTTAGGGCCTTGTATGCCACTGCATGTGTTCAAATGTGTACTGTAACAGGCCAGATTTATAGGGATATCATCCTGCAGCAGTATGTGCAGCTTTTTAGAGATGCACTTGGTCCTGGGTTCATTTTGATGAATGATAATGCTTCCCCCCACAGGTCTGGCTTGGTTTAGGAATATCTGGAAATTGAGAACATAAGGTGTCTGGACTGGCCACCCTATTCACCAGACTTAAACCCCATAGACATATATGGGATGCCCTTAGTCACAGAATTGCAACACATCATCCTTTACCACAGACTACTGCAGAGCTCTAGAGTACTTGTGCAAGAGTTGGATTCATTCCAGAAACTGCTTGTGACATTATAAACAGTATGCCAAACTGCTATGTAGCATATAGTACCATTTACAGCAACCATACACGCAATTAAGCTTCACAGGACCACAGTGTGACATCATGGCACAAGCAGTGTCATACAGGACAGTCCATGTCCATTTCGTTTTCCCTTTTTTCCAATGGGTTAGATGAATACAAACTTCTTTTCTCACTTAATTTCATCTTCTTATGTTATGTTCAACCTCTTGAAGTATGTTTCTTGCAGTTCAATGAGCCATTACCACCACATACACTAATTTTTAGATTATGGACATTAGTGTAAATTAATGAAATGTATTGTACATTTCTAAGTTATATATTAATGAATTTTCACGTGTTATTTAATTGAGCCACTCATTTTGCCAAATCAATTAACTCTTTTGCATCATTCATAAGGTATCATTTTTAAGTAGATGGTAAAAAATATGCATCCTGTTTTTTTTACATTAAATTTCAATTATAATATATCAAAGAAAATAATAACATAATAAAAAAAAATGTCTAGAAGTTTGTGAATTTTAATAACAATGTAAACACATCACTGAACACTTTAAGATACAGTGGGTGATTGGTTAGCAAACATAATGTTTTAAGACTGTGTTTGCTATTTGAATTGTTCATTAACTAATTACCAATTTACTATAGATTTTTATGGGAATTTGATTAATCCATTCTGGAGACCCCAAAAATAAAAAATTATATATTTTCTTACTACATTTATTTATATGTAATAATAAAAATACATATATACACAGTCTTGCATTTTTATCAGTCATGTTTTTTCTGTTTGTGGGGCATTAAAGAATCTGTCCAATGTCAATTGCTTCTCTCTTCTTCAGGATTTTTTGGAAGTTATTAATAGCATTGTCATTGTAGAGATCCCTAAGCCCATTAACCTCAACCTGGTTTGGATGCCATTTTAAGACTGTTGTTCTGACATCCTCCCACTTCTTCAAAAGATGTTTAATAACAGATATCGGCATTAATCCTCTTTTTTCAGAAGAAAACATATCTTGCCGAGTTTCTTGGTGTTATTCATTCAAGAGTTCTTGGCATTCTTCTGTCATCCGATCAGTTTCAGGTTCCATTATGAGCTCTTCAATGTTCTTTATTTCTTAGATATAATTTTTGTTACTCTTTTAGCTGCTTGAGTCTTCTTGATACTGTATCTTTCTTAGATAATATTGCATATAACTGCAGCCTACTGTAGACCTGTTCAAGCCATACTGCCCAGCAGCATCAGACATCTTCTGCCCACTCTCTCTCTCTACCTTTGCTATTATACTCTCACCTTTTGAAAATAAAAACCGATGCAAAACTTAATGAGTGTTCACTCTGACAGTCTCGAGAATACTATAAAAAAAATTCTTTGTCAGAAGAATAAAAGGCTGGAATTACAAGGGAGAGTTTCAAAGTTCAGAGGAATACTATCTGATCAGTATATATTAGGTTGAGTGTTGATGTCAACATCTCCCACACTCCAAAAAGTTTTGAATTGTTGCCTGAAGACAAGGGAAGACCAATCTGTATTCATTATTTTACATTGCTGCTGCTTGTGTGTGTTCTGTGAGATGTTTGTTGTCCAAATATAAAAATCTTTCACAAGTGTTCATAGTCCGAACTAGGGTTTCTGAAACGGGATTCCGGGATCCCGGTTGTTTTTTTAACCCGGGAAATATCCCGGGAAATTTTTCTTATCCTGGGAAATCCCGCAAATTTCTTAAAAATTCACTTTTTTTCTTATTTTTTTGTTAAGGTTGAGGAGTTTTGCAAATAGAAAGCATAATTAACTCATTCACTGCCAGAATACATTTGTATTTATTAATTTTAAACCTACCTATTAGTTTTTTTAAATTTTTGCTCGTTATAGCATGTCACAAATGGTCAATAATCAATATATAGCTTATTTGTGGCATGACTATAAAAATTCTTTACTTGTCGGAACCTGTAATATCTGGAATAATTGTGCTTACGCTGTCTTGAGTTTTAACCATGCCCAGTAGCTTCAATAAATGCCTGACGCCAGATTGTGCAAATTGGGCAAGGATACAAACGAGTACAAAGTCTGCAAGTATGAAGTTTTTCTTCATAAACCTGATTATTAAAGCCAAATGAATTGCCGAATTATCGAGCTCTAAGCTTGATGCCGCTATTAAAGCAGCCAAGGTAGACAAATCAAGAATACTAGAGAGCGAAAGAAGTACTACAATCTCGAAAACGAACTCGAAAGCTTCCAGGCTACAGGTGAAAAAACACATAATATCTGTCTTCTCTTAAATGCATTAAACACTATTCCAATCACATCAATTGAATCGGAAAGGGCATTCTCGGTGGCAAGACTTTTCATTACTAAAATAAGAATTAGAGTGAGTTATCGGAGTATTGACCATCTTTGCTTTTTAAAATCTTATAAAAGTTTGCAATATTTTGTATTATATTTTATTTAAAAAACGAAAATTACCTTCTAAATTAGAAGTTCATTTTTTTAATTTTTAACTCAATTCAAAACATTTTTTTTGTTGTTGTTGTATGCAGTTTCCAGCAAACTTTAATTAATTTTTTTCTATTTGTGAAAATTTCTACGTTATTTAAAGGTAATTTTTATTATAGGCCTATAGACCTAACACAGCATTATTAATATGATTTTGGAGGTTACAAAACTTTAAAATTACTTTAAAAAATGGAAAATAATTATATCATTTGATTTCAAGATATTTTGTATACCTTAAAAATAATTAATTCTATCCCGGGATCCCGGGAAACAGTTCACTTTTATCCCGGGATCCCGGGACAAGCAAAATATCGGGAAATGAGAAACCCTAGTCCGAACTGTTCATTAACTGATCAACCAATGTAATCTTCATAAATTACAAGCAAATTATCAACTACAATGCAAATAATATAGCTTTTATTTATATTGCATAAGATTTTAAATTTGTACAGTATTGATTGATTATATATATTTGATATTATATACAGTATTTTAAATAATGCAACTGAAGATTCTCTTTTTTAATAAAAAAAATAAAATTTTGTTTTTATACATAATATAAAAATCTTATTTTTATTTATATTTTATAATTGTCAATTAAAAATTATTCAAATTTATTATTATATATGAAATATAAAATTGTTTATAATAATAATTTGACATTAAATCCTATAAATTAATTTCTGAAGCAAAAAGTTTGCTCTTTTGAAAATATTACTGTGATTTTATTTCTTGCTATTATTAAATATTGTTTGACATAAGTATTTTTTTGGAAAGAATATGTAGAAAAGCATTATGAATAAAAGCAGCAGTGATATAGTCTTTTTCAATGAAACAAACTTTAATTTTATGAGACTGTGTGTTTAATAAAGTAAGAGTTTGACTCTGCCAAATTTTTTAATTGTTCAACTTTCCATTACTTCCAAAGATTTATCAGAACTGTGAATCATATGAAGAAAAACAATTTCAACTCCACTATTGATGGGTTTATCCTTGGAATTCTTTGTAGAATTTATTCCATTCAGTTATAATTAATTATTTTCAACAAATTTGAGGGAAAATATACTAGAATTTTAACTAAAATTAATTGGTAGTTGTAAGTCATTGATATGCAGTTATCAAAATAACAATTTACATTGGTTATTAATTTAATTTAAATATAAATAAGATAATTTGTAAATACAATTTTGTATTCTTATTTAATAACTAGGTATAATCTGAGCCATTTAGAACAGTGGTGTCGAGATCAGCAAATGAATCAAACTGAAGTGACAGACATTTTACAGCCCATCATTCAGGCTTCTCAACTTCTTCAGGCTCGCAAGACAGATGATGATGCCCAGAGTATATGTGATATGTGTAATAGACTAACTACTGCCCAGGTATTGTTTTTTATTAAAATTAAGTTATAATTATTGTCTAAAATTCTATTATATTAATATGAAGTACTGTAATTATATATTAGAGAATCTGTTTTATTTTAAGATTATCAAGATTTTAAATTTGTATACACCTGCTGATGAGTTTGAAGAAAGGGTACCAATATCATTTATTAGAAAAATGCAAGCTTGTCTTCAAGGAAGAGATAAGTTAAGGGAACAAGAACACAGGCCCAATCCAGCTATTGATCAGGGAACATTACTAATGGACACAAAATTTGCCTTTCCTATCCGTTTTCCATTTAATCCTTCTAGTATCATGTTAGAAGACATAGTAGTTCCTGATGTCCTTAATTTGTCCATGTTAAAGAAAATTTAGAATTAGGTTTCTTTTTTAAATTTTGTTAATGATTTCATCACAGCAGGTAGTAAAATAACTGCCTACGTTTAATTTTCTAGTAAAGAACTTCCATATTTGAAAATGAGAAAAATATTTCATTGATAACGAATATGATCCATTCAAATTTTATTATAAAAATTATAATTGTGCTTAAGATATAAAATTTTATTTAATTAATCAACTGTATAGAGTAAATTGTGAATATATTGTAATATATTGTTAGTTGTTAAAACCAAATTGTATAGATTTTATTGCAAAATGTTAGAGAGAATACTAAATCATGATTAAAAAAAATTATTTTTTAATTAACATAATACATTTTTTGAACTGTTAAAAATAACTTTATTGCTCCAACTGTTACTATTTATTCCCTTTTTGTTTTAAATCCTGCAATATCTATATTGGAATAGTGATATTGATAAAAATAATTACTCTCACTGTTTATTAAAAACTGATTAACGTAATTGCGTAAATTGTGCTCTATTTTTATAGGTTGTAATTTGTGTCAAAGTTTATTTACAAATCATAGTTCTCATCATTAATAATATATAGGCCCAATGTATTTAATTTTCAATAAAATCAAAAAATATTTAGTAATGTAATTTTCATTTAAATTATCCTTACTGATACAGAAAATCAAAATTATACCGAAACATGAATTTTTTACAGAATCTGTAAAAATAGAAGCATAATCAAAGACAAAATATTTTATTCATTGTAAAGCTCGACATTTGCCTTTTCATAATTTTGGTTTGCCAAGCAGTTGTGTGTAAACATGTACATTATTATTTAATAAATTGAACAAGAACAATTATGTAGAATAAAATTTTGTAGAGAATTAATTATTATTTGCCATGTTAAAACAGTAATGAGAAATCATTTTGATAAAACAGTTTTATTAACATAAAATAACTACAGAAAAGGAATAAATAAATAACCTATGCAATTTTATGTTTACATCACAAACTCGGAACAATGTGATAAAATTATTTTCACGAGACTATTTATATTGTGATCTAATTACAGGAAGACAAAATTTTAAATATTTAACGTGGCAAACTTTCTACAACCAGTAATAAATTGAGCGCTGATGGCACTGCCTCGTATTTTTGCCAGTTTGATTCAATCGTAGGAAATAGAATACGAGATCGGTTTTCGAACTATTGCAACAGACTGGTTTGTACTCGATTTGCTTTCTCGTGCTCAATTGGCAGAAATTCGTTTAGTTTCAGGTACTGAATCGGCGAAGTCCCAAAGAAATTTAAATTTCACCGAATTATTCCGAAATGCCTTGCGTTTAGATTATTAAAACAATTTGATTATAACATAATTGTGAAGCATATTATACACACATAATTATATCTTATATAATGAATAAATATGTTGCCACCATAAATACTAATGGTAACAGAGGCAGAAAAACTTAATTTACCAATTCATATTATAATAATGTCAGTTTTTGTGTTTTCTTAAAACACACTTTTTTGGTCCCGAAATTAAATTAACATGAATTCATGAGAATATTCTCACTATGCAGAAATATTCAGATTTTTTTTTGTGCATTTAGTATTTACAGAATCTTAATCCATCATCCAGTTTATAAGAGTGATTCCAAAATGTAACTTTAGAAAAATTTTTTATATGATCATCATGGAAAGAAAGAAAATTTATCACACCTTCAGTATTCCACAGAGTAAATGTGATGATTATTAATAAAAAAATGTATCAACATAAAATTTAACACTTGTTTTGTGTATGAATTATATAATCTGAAGATTTTAATTAGTTTGCTAACATTCATCATCATCTAATATAGAAACATTTTGAATTTTGTGTTTTGAAATTCCTTCATTGCTAGAATTATCCATTTCTAATTTACGCTTACAAGTTTTATGGCGACGTTTTTCTGTTGAGCTTTCTTCCCCTGCAGATATTTCGTCGTCTGTCGGAAAATTCTCGAAGAGTAGAGATTTGCTTGGTGACAATGGTGTCAAGATTGGATTGATGTGGAGACATTCCAGTGGCGTACTGTGACGAGCGGGAACGACCACAAATGGACCATTATCGGAAGAGACGTTTTCCAACTGGGCATTAATCGGCTTGAACTCATCTATAATGTCAATAATCCCGTCTCCAATATTTTCGTCTCCTTCTAAAATTGCTGGGTTTTTGCCATCTTTCAATTCCAAAATGGGAGTGATCTTTCCACAGGAACACAGGCTGGCAGGCGACTTGGAGCGCCAATACTGAAGTTCCGTTTTACAACGACTGAGGTCTTGCAGGACAGCACTAAGTTTACGTGAAGTGTTTTGAAATTTTTTGTCATAATCTTCAAATCGGGCTTTTAATTCCTTTATCTGTTTCTGTTGACTAGTCACTCTTCGTTTCGTTAATTTCAACTCTTGTTTGACTGCCAAAACTTGTCCATTATTTCTAAAAATAGAAAAATAGTTAAAATGTTGTATTTTTCAAAAATATACAATACAATCTGTTTTACTTTATTTTTTTATATCTTAGATATTTAATATCAGACATAATACAGTAGAACCTCTATTATCCGGACTAATTGGGGATGAAGGTAGTCCGGATAAGAAAAAATCCGGATAATCGAAAAAATACTTTAATTTGTCTTTTAATGATAATACAACACGTTTTCTTTTCGATGACATATCGGTAATATTAAATACCGTATTTAAATCGTGATCAGATTTTCAAGAAACAAACGTTCGTATTAAATTTGGACTACTACTGACCAACGCTAACAGACTACCTATTGTTTAAAAGGCCCTCTGGTGGCGCAAGAAGACGGATTTTATAAAATAAAAAGCAGTCGAAACTGCATTTTTATGAATAAAAATTTGACAAACTATTTATCGTTTTATGACGAGTAAAATTTTTTCGTCGCGTTCGCGGCTTTTAAGTAATGCATAAACCTTCGAAATGCGAGGCATAGGCGGTGGCCCACGTCGTCCATGCCTTATGCCGCCCTTGGTCATAGAAATGATGTAATTTGAATATAAATTATTTATAAATACGTATGTCAAGTTATATTTTTATTTATTAAAATATATTTGAGTTTACGACCACTGTGCCGGGTGAGACGTTGTTGAAACAAAAGACGTTATGCATTCCATCACGTACATAAACAGTGTCGTAATTCGCCAAGTGCAAATCAGCAAATTCGTAAAATTTTTAATTAATATGCATTTATGTCCTTAATTTAATCAAAATTATTCTTTTAATCACTATATCAGTATATTTCTATTAATAGGACTTATCATACTGGTGTACAAGATTGCAGACTCACAGTTACACAGATTAAAATTGTTTTATTTTCAATTACCTGGGTAATTGAAAATAAAACAATTTATATTGGTATATAATTTACAGGTAATTGAAAATAAAACAATTTTAATCTGTGTAACTGTGAGTCTGCAATCTTGTACACCAGTATGAGAAGTCCTATTAATAGAAATACACTGATATAGTGATTAAAAGAATAATTTCGTAAAATTTTTGTTTATTTTGGACAATCCGGATAATCGAAAATCCGGATAATGGAGGTTCTACTGTATATCAAATTGTGTGGACATTTTGAAAATCTTGTCGTTTTTGAGACAAATATCACTGCTTGATGTAAAAGTGTTATCTTTCTATAGACAAATATATCTTGCTCATGGTGGCTGCTGACATACTTCCTACAAGAGGAGGTTATAACATAGTTCTCAGGGATTTCAATAATACTGTTCATGTAGATAAGCTTTGGCACCAGTGGTGGATTAACCATTAAGCTAAGTAGCTTTATGCTTAGAGGACCAGAAGGGCAGGGACAAAAGAACTTAATGCCACTTTATTATTCATCGTAGGCTAAGATTCAGTAAGGATCCTTTGCTTCCATCTAAAGGCAAGTGAGGTGGTTAATCTGCTATTGTTTGGTCCAAACCTTTATTAAGCAAAGTGTGCTTGCTTCTCAAAATTTTCAAAGAAAAGTGAGAAAGTCCAAGTGACTTATGAATTCTATAAAAGGTTGTGCAAAAGTTAAGTTTGGTGGCTCAATGGTAGCATACCTGGCTCATTTGCATTTTGATGAGTAAACTTTTTCCAAATTAATGCAATTTTTGTCTATTTCCTATGTAAAATAATTGTAAATCATATAGGGTATACCTTTTATGAAAAACTGCATTGATTTGAAAAAGTCCATTCATTATGACACAAACCTAGTGATCCTGTAAACAAGTCAGGCATGCTACTTGGGTTTTTTAGCAGCATTTTTTTCTTTTTGCTCTATAAAGTTTCATACCAAGACTTCCATGCAAACAGTATTATTGAAATTTCCAAGGACCATATTGTAATCTTCCCTTGTTAAATAAAAATGATCCTCCAGTCTTCATATAGGTAACACTGCTTCAAGAAAACTCTTGGTTTTTTAAATAGGTTTTAGAAAAACAAGGTTGGTCAAGCTGAACTGATAGCACAATCCACAAAAGCAAATCAAATGTTAATTTTGTTTAAAATAAATTTTATAAATTCTTGGAATCAAGTAGTTGTTCAGAAGAATTTTTCACTGAATATATAGTAAGGGATGTGGTTTATAGATTCCTCTGGAATCTAAGTTATAATAAAAACTACCCATGACCATAAACAAAAATGTTCAGTTTCCTTTTGCACATGCCCAATGAATGGATTGAATGGAACATAACTTTGCAATAAAACTTTTGTTACCTAACATGCACGTGAATTTATAATGTCTGACAGACACACAAGTCCTAACATAAGCACTTTACTACAGTGGAGCATGCTAAAAATGTTTTATCTAAATTCTAGTTATTACCAAATAGGATTGAAAATTAACAAGCTTTATTTATTGATAATGTGAAATAGAATGTATCTGTACAAAAATAGAACAAAAAACACTAGTACTTTAATTGATTTTAAACATAAGCCAATTGTTTTTGTTACAAAAATATATGAACTGAGATCCATCTGTACAATTTACTAACAAAGAACAAAAGTGAATCTATCATCTAACTTACATATCAGTGTAGTATATATGCAACAACAAAAAATTCTATCTATATTATACTTGGCTCCATGTTATCCAACTTACAATTATCTGGCCTAAATGAAAATAGTAGTATTAATGAATCTGATGATGACAACATAATTGATACTAATTCTCTAAATCATTACAAAACCTGTAAATGGATAAAAATGCTACTGATATAAATTTTACTAAAAGTTTAATCTTAAAATTTTTTTTAATGTAGAAGGTATGGTTGCTGTATATTCAAATTCTGTGTGTAGTGTCCTTGTAATCCAGAGAAAAGGTTCTTTGTGGACGACCAAACAGCAGTTGGTTAAAAAAAATTACAGTTTATTTATAAGAGATTTTTTAATTATTCAAATGCATTTCAGGTTGGTTTATGTTCCTAACTCCTACTCTTAAAAATACAAAACAGAGTAAGGTTTATGACATTGGAATATATAACGTACCATTATATAATATGTAAATTCTTGTGTTATTATTTTTTCCTTCTTTTTTTGTATGTCATATTTACCAATGTCATAAACCTTACTCTGTTTTGTATTTTAAAGAGTAGGGTTTAGGAACATAAACCAACCCGAAATGCATTTGAATAATTAAAAAATTTCTTATAAATAAACCGTAATTTTTTCTAACCAATTGCTGTTTGGTCGTCCACCAAGAATCTTTCCTCTGGATTACAAGGACGCTACACACAATTAAAATTTTTTGTTTCACTGCAAAATAAACTTAGGGGTGTGACTTTTATTTGAAAACAATGAAAAATTCTCCAAAACTAAATTGTCCAAAACAGTGTCCATAACTTTTTATGAGGAGATTGTACACCATTTATTAGCAAACTATTTATCTTCAAAAATTTTTCTTTTACAATCCAAATAAAGTTCAGGTAAGGGAGATTTTCCTTTTTGAGGTCCATTTATGACTCAATTTCTTATTTATCTAATATTTTTTTTATTAAAAAAAGGGTTTTTTTGTTGTATAATGAGCAAATATTCAAACTTAAATAAAATAAATTTATTAATCATATCTGAATATACCATTTTTTAAGGATTTATTATCAAATTTAAAAACTTTAATAATCTTAGGCCATCTTCAACAATTATTGTTAACCTATTAACAATTTTTCTTAGCAAGCATTAGGTGGTAAAGTAAGATTGTTGTATTTTCTTTTGAATTAGAAAATCTGAGTTTATGAATTATAATTAGAGACAGAAGTGAGATATAATAAATGTGATCATCAAAAGATGTCTAAAAATTTAAATTTCCAATAAATACTCTCTCATTGACAAAGTTTCATTTGATTCCAAATGATTACAGTATCATAGCAAAGAACAATTTACAGAAACCTTCTTGTACTTTAGATAAGAGAAGGTCCTACAAACACTTGTGGCAATATGGACAGAATGCTTGCCTACAGATGTTGCAATTGCTCTGCCAGCTTCAGCTGTCCACATTCAGTACAACAAGTTATGCTGTAATTAGGGAATTCGATCCCGGTCCTTATTTCTAATCTCGGGATTATACTTATTCGATCCCGGGATTATTTCGGTATTGAGGGTTAATAAAAAATAAGAAAATCTTACAGAAATTAAAAATCAAAATTTAGACAAAAATCAACGTATTTTACGGTATACACCTAGTTAATTTAATCACTCTAATTAATCAGAATTACAGTCAGACTAACCAGACTTAAAATCACTGTCTTCATGTTAAATTTATTCTTTTTTAAGCATCACTGAGATCTCTTTAAACTCACATAAATTGAAAAAACTTTTATGTAACAAACTATGCAAATAAACGTTGAAAATTCACAAAAATCTCTCTTAACATCGACTAAATAGACTACTTTCATATAACAACCTAGTAAGTAGGTAGTAAAGTAAGTTTCTTAGCAAAAAGTATTTAAAAATAATATTAATCAGTCACATTTTTCTTAAATATAAAGAAAACTAATCTAATAGGAACATTCTAATTTGAATTGCGAAAATATGATCTGAGAAATAACAACGCATCCAGTGTCTCATCACCAAGTCTGCTTCTCAATTTGTTGCACATATATGCAGCTGCTGAGAAAACGCGTTTAGGTTTGATGGAAGTTGGAGGAATCGTTAGTAAATACTTATAAGCTTCGAGGACACGGGGAGGATGGAAGAAAACAGTCCGGTCGACACGGATCGGGATTGTAGGAGTAAAGGCTACAATCCCGATTGTTTCGATCATTGTAAGCATGTCTTTCTAAAAATAAACGCGTTAATTTTGTAAATTCGGTCTCTGTGTGAGTCTCTCAGCGTCCAGCAAACCACTACCCCGAAACGTAAAAAGACTTTCTCGCATCATCCTGACAGATCGCGGGCAAGGCGAGGGTCGTAACCTTTTCACCTAAGGTCGACCCCCCTAAGCGAGAGGCGTCGGGTCTATATTAACTACACTGGCAAAACAAGATGGCTGACACATTGACAGGTAAAACGCACTGAGTAGTGCTCTCGACTGCGCCAGAAAATCGATTGGCGCCCGCGAAAATTCAAAAATACAAAAATGAAGTATATTACCAAGTAACCCAGTGAGAACTGCTTGCCTATCATTTTAGTTGAAAATACAATAAGTTTTATTCCAAGCAAGCATCGCAAGCCCGCTTGGTTAATCTCTGCTGCTTGCTTGGAATAAAATTTCTTGTATTTTATATTAAAATGATAGGCAAGCAATTCTGTTAAAAGCACTGGCACTGAACGTTTCGCTTCATGCAGTCTATTTTGCAATTTTTTAAAAATGATGTCAATCCCGAAAATCCCGGGATTAGGAAAACTTAATCCCGAAAATTTTAGGACTGAAAAGTGGTCGGGATCCCGGGATCCCGATTTTCTAGATCCCGGGATCAAATCCTCTAGCTGTAATACAAGTTATGCTGTCTTAAGCATCTTTCAATAATTCACTTCGGATAATAGTGTTTCTTCGATGAATTTTGATTTAAAATTTCTAAAAGTACTATATTCATAGTCTAAATGTAAGCTAAAAGTAGAATATTTAATAATTCCCAAATGTAGTTTACAGCTATAAGTTAATCATTAAGCAAACATTTTTCTGTTATGTCTCAAATAATCATAAACTCAGACATCAGAAAATTAATTGGGAGTCTGCAGTATTATCTGACTTTTGAGATATGTTGATACAGAATTTTAAATACAATGGAAAATATATTAATGTAATTAGTAGAAAAAATTAAGACTATGATTGCTAAAGTATTAAATAAAAACACACACTGCTTCTAGACAAAGAATCATTATTGCGTGGATGCTAGTATATCATCTAGAGTAAAACATATACATGATTGTTCAGAAAGGTCCCAAAATTTTTGAATAGCATGCTTTTGATTATTTTTTAATTTAGTTGAATGCGTTGTGTCCACGGAAACCTCCTGAATCACCTTCTTCAATCTGTTTGTTGATATCTTGTTTTATTGATTAGTTACGGCCGTTTATGTAAAGAGATATTTGTGGGGTTCGGCAAAAAATTGGATCCGCAGAAATGAGCTGTTTGAAGGAGCAGCATTGTTCTGTGAAATTCTGTATGAAACTCAGGAAATCCTTCACGGAAACATCCCCTGCCCCAAAAAAGCTCGACAAGTTTGCTCAAATGTTAAGGTGATGTTGACTGTTTTTTTTCAATAGAAAGAATATGTGCATCATGAATATCTACCTACAGGCCAGGCAGTCAACATGGAGTACTATCTGGGGGTTATGAAATGCCTAAGAGACAGAATCAGACGAAAATGGCCCAAACTTTGGGGGAGCGTTGAGTGGATTTTTCACCATGACAATGCACAGGCTCATTTGTCCCTCAGAACTCATGAGTTTTTTTGCCAAAAACAAGACTGCTGTGCTTCCCCACCCACACTACTTACCTGACCCCCAAACTAAAAAACACTCAAAGGAAAAAGATTTGCCATCATTCCAGAGATAGAGAAGCTTATGAGCATTCTGGAAAAAGCATTCCAGAACTGTTTCAAAAAGTGGAAACACTGTTGGGAGAAAAGTGTATGTTAGGGAGGAGACTATTTATTACAAAAAAATACTTCACTTACAATTTACTTTGAAGGGGACCCTGACAAAGTTCAAGAACTTTTTGAACAACCCTTGTATAAAATTTAACTGTTGATAAATTAAACAAAATAAAATAAAGTAACATTGAAATGTTATCCTTAAAATTTTTGTATTTGCACTAATATCTGTTACAAAAAGCAAATTTTCATATTTTGGATGTTGTTCTTCATTCCACCAAATAATAATAAATGCTAAAGGAAAAAGTTTAGTAATGATTCCTTTTTCAATGAATGCTAAAGATATCCACAAATTCATGAACTATGTGGCCGCTGTATAAAACTTCAAATGCAGTTAAAGATTCGCATATTGAGATTCTAATATTTAAAAAAAGTGAAGTCGACCCTGTTTTCACTGATTGTAGTACCATTATGATAAAACCAAGGGGATCACTAGATGGTGCTACCATTCTAATATTTTGGTTCAAATTATTTCACTCTATAGTTAGTAAACCTAACAATAAAACTAAAATTAACTAGGTGAATCCTATTACATTTATTAATCTAAAAGCATTATCTTGGTTTTTAGACATATGAAATATGATTTAAACCAAATTATATTTGAAACGCTTTGTATAAAATACCACATATTTTATATTAAATTCTTTTTACCTTTTCATATTTTCTCGCAACCTCTTTAATCGTTTATTTACAGCTGGGCTGACAGGAGACGGTGGGGGCAATGAATCCAATCCAGTAACTGGTTTAGTGGGGCTACAAGCTGTACTAGTTGCTGGATCATCCAAGAGAGATAACTGTGTTTTTGGTGATGCTGTAGTATAGAAGTAAACAACAAACATTAATACTCTAAAACTTAATATAAAAATTAGATAAATTTTAAACAAGTTTTTTTTAATAATTTATTCCCAAATATAATGACACTAAACTAAACTACTATTAGAATTAAAAATATTCTGAGAAATTTTATAATATAAATAGCTGATAAGTAAAAGTAAGTTATATTTAATTTCCCACATCTTTTATATATATAAAGAATAATTTTTACAACAAAGTTTTTGAGTTTCTTCTAATCCCGTCCTCTGGTAAATTAGCCAAATTGACAATAAAATATACAGGGTGTCCCAGAAGTCTTTCCCTGATTACAAACATGCAGAAGGCAGAAAATATGACACATAGACCTGCACTTCAAGATAAAAGATAACATATTCAAGTTTTTGTGTGTGCATATATACTCACTGTTACTTTGTTTGTTACAGAACAATCACAGCCAATACCTATCTTGATATGTTGCAGTTATTTGTTGTGCCACAGATTTGGGACATTCTGGACTTAATTTTCCAACATGATGGCGTGCCACCTCATTGGGGGGTTAGATGTTCGTGCCTATTTGGATACAGCATTTCCGGGAAGATGAATCAAGCGTGGTGGTCCCATCAACTGGACACCGCGATCACTGGACATATAACACCACTGGATGTCTTCCTTTGGGGTTGTCAAGGACCAGGTTTACCAAACACCAGTGAATGACATTGCAGCATTATGGCACAGAATTACTGATGTCATAGCATCCATCCCACATGATGTTGACCAACACATGGGTGGAATTAGAATATCGCCTGGATATCCTTCAAGCGACAAAAGGAGCACAAGTTGAAATTTATTAATAAGTATGTATGTACACACAAAAACTTGAATATGTTACCTGCAATTCAAGATAAAAAATGTGTCATATTTTCTGCCTTCTGCATATTTGTAATCAGGGAAACACTTCTAGGACACCCTGTATTAAATGAAGTAAATATTTAAAATCTTGACAAACGGTAGTTAATTTTTTTTAAATACAAAAAATTTTGCAAACTTCTTCACTCTCCTTCTGTTTATTAATTATTAAATACTGTCTGCCAGGATTTTAAATATTTACTTCATTCAATCAGTTATAAGGAAATTTAAAATTCATAAGTAACTGAAAACTGCCTTTCATGACCAGATCAGATGAGCCAGACCAGACAATGAACCTGCATTTAACAAATATTTGTCTATTTGTATACATGCATGAATGTATGTTGATTTTAAATATCTTTTAATACAATATTAAATACAGCCAAATTTAGTTATAATGAACATGGATATCTAGTTCATGGTTATAATGAGCAAAGTACCATAACAATTTTAATTTTGCATATTTCCATACATTTTCTTGCAGTTATAACAAGGATACTTCATGGATATACTGAGCAAATTTTCAGTAGCTATGCAAACACACAAACATTCTTAATTGTTCAAGTAGTAAGAAATGCAATACCAAATTCTTGAAATAGCTAAAACTGAAAAGGTTATTTAGTTTTATGACCACTGGATAATTAGTTTTGCAACCTGCATAGGTCATAGACCAATTTATCACTTAACTTTCTTTTGTTCTACTCTCCCAATTTTCCTAATCATCGCTGCAATTGTAAAATTACCAAATACTTTTTCATAGAAGGGTTCATTTCTAACTAAAGATGTCTATAGGAAAAAGAAAATGTCTCTGGGTTTATCAAAAAGTATAAATTATTTGCAAGTTAGAATGTGGTACTAAAAACACAGGTATGTAGAAAGTTCACAGTTCTTTGCCATCTTTGATGGTATGAAATTATGAAAAAATAAAGCAAACATCGATTTTAAGATTTGTAGATAAAAAGACTAACTGAAATTGGACATATTATCTTGAATTGTTTAATATTAATTGTAAATATCTTAGACTTCACCGATAAAATTAAAAGTTGACTTTAAAAAAAAACACGTAATAACAATATATAACTATTAATGAAAATACAGTATAAATTACAATATAATTAATAAGTAATGTAGCTACCCTTCATGGATATAAGTAAATCTTGCAAGTTCCCTAATGCTTGTTATAACGGTGTGACTGTAATTTGTCCAAGTATTAAGCTATAAATGCAGTTTTTATTTATCATACTACCCACAAAATAACATCCCAAATAAAACAATTATACAAACAAAATGAGGTAGAAAGAGTAAAATAAAAGTATGATAAATTTTTATTTTGTCATCAAACTAAAATATACACAAAAAATAATACTTCCAAATTACTCATAGATTTCAATTTTTCTTGATCCACATTAAATGTGTTGAGTATTGAGCAAACTTGATAGCTTAAACAGTAAAGTTCATCATCTATAGCCACATAAATACTTAATGTTACTTTTGATGATTGATTCATTTGAACTAGTTAAATGGGATAATTTTCTGCGTGTCTCTGCAAAGCAGTTGTTGATTGTCTCTACTGTGACTTTTTTCCAAGTTAAAAGTAAAAACTATGAACTATATCCTATGATTTTCAGTAAAACAAAAACATTTGAAGTATTGATTTAAGTTTTACAGTAGATTTTAGGCTCTCTTGCCTTTTTTCCACCCTCTCCAATTGTAAAATTTACAAATAACTGTTTGTAATAGGTCTTAAAATACAATTTTTCCTGCAAATTGCATTAGACCTTTGACCATTAGATCTTGTCATCATAAAAAATTTTATATTTTTAATAATAAATGCTTTGTATTGAGAGGATGTGCTAGACAGAAATCCAGAAACAATAACATGTTACAATTTTTTAATTTTTTGCTGCAATTTAAAAAATTGTAGACCTATAAATTCCCACTATCTGTCCTTCCTTAATCTTGAGAACATGTTAGATAGGTGAAAGTCAAAACTAGATATAGAAAGCTTAGTGGCATGAAGTCCCAATTAACTATATATGAACTTCCAGTCTAGACCAGAAGTCACAATTTAATTCAAAATTTTTTCCTGAATGGAGTTACATAGATGACTGACACAACTCTGTTATTATGGTATGATGTACAGGGACAAGACACTAGAAATTTGAGATGGAAAACATTCTTAATTTATTCAATTTAAAATATATGATTAAAATTGCAATCTGGCATTGTAATGATGTCACAATAAATAAGTGCTTGTTTAATTTAGAATCCAATACTTTTAAACATTCTTCAAAAAGTTTTGTCATCATCCATGCATTTTTATTTGATATACATTCTGTAGGTTAGAAGGCAGGCAATATTCTGAAATCGAGAATTGGCAATTTACCGATAACTAGTGGAATAAAATTTTCTGATCCATCACTCTTGTAGTGTAATAAAATAATCAGCTGCTTTTTACTCCTTCCCCTCATAACATTTTACTTCTTTAATGCAAACATGTAGTCAGGTATCAAATTATAAATAAATCAGTCTTGTTGCAATTAAAAATATTGCATACTTTGTGACAATTTTTAAAACAATATGAAGCACTGACATTTCTGCACAAACAGTTACACTTGATATTTCATGCATTAGTTTGAACTTGTGAAACCATCTCAAAAAAGCAGAGAAAACTTTACTTCTGGCTTTTTAGTTATTTTGTGTATAAATATGACTGCCCTTTTTAATGGACTGCGTTAGTAGTACTGTTTGTATGCAACTGAATCTGGCAACACTTTTAAAGAATACTGTCAAACCTTTCAAATAAAAATAAGTATGTGACATCTGTTTAAAGTGTAAACAATAATTATTTTTACCTCATTAAAAATGTTGAGTTTTGTGCCAATAAACAGCATTTGTGGAAAGTTTTACTTCATTATTTTATTGCAAAGAAAACTGCAGCAGAAACATGCCATTTGCTGTTGGAAATTTGTGGTGAACATACTCCATTGAATACAACTTGCAGAATGGTTTTGATGCTTTGTCATGTGTATTGAATTCATTATTTTTAAAGAGCATGGAAAACCACCAAAAAATTTCAAGATGAAGAATTGGAAGCATTACTGGATAAAGATCCTTGCCAAACATAATTGGAACTGGCTGCTACATTACATATGATCCAACTATGCATTTCCATCGACTACATGCAATGGGAATGATTCAAAACAAGAAAGTTGGGTCCCATACAAATTGAAAGAAGGGGATATTAAATGTCAAAAACCAAATATGAATTATTGCTTCAAAGATTAAAAAAAAAGTTTTTTGTGCCAAATTGTTACTGGAGATGAAAAATGGATTCCCTTTGAAAATCCTACGTGACCAAAGTCATGGATACATCCAGACAAACCAGGTCCATCAATGTCAAAACAGAACATTCATGGAAGTAAGGTTATGTTGTATATCTGGTTCTACCAGATACACAACATAACCTTACTTTCATTCTACAACCAGATATACAACTCTTGTTGCAACCAAGTCAGAGAATCAATGCTGAATGTTACACACAACAGTTAATCGAACTGAAAGCAGCATTGAAGCAGAAACATCCAAAATATATCAAAAGACATGACAATGTTTGCCCACATGTTGCAAGATTAGTCAAGAAAACTCTAGAAGCACCTTGCTGGGATGTATTGCCCCACCTGCTGTATTCACCAGATGTCACTCCTTCAGCTTACCATTTGCTTTGATCCAAGCAGAGCAACCTTTCTGGAAAGTGGTTCAGATCTTATAAGGCTATCCAAAATTGGGTTGATGACTATATTTGGAAGTCTGGTTGTTTTGAAGCAATCCAAAGTTAAAGATTGGTTAATAGAAATAATAAAATTTATATATTGCCAACTGTAAAAAAATTATTTTTATGAGTTTTTACAAACAAACAGATGGCATTGCTATGGGAACAGTGATAGGACCAAAAATCAAGGAGATATGTATGATAGATATAGATAATATTAAAAATTTTAAAGTATCAAATTCTTAAGTTGGTTTGTAGATGATATAATCTTAATATACAACAGTAAAGTCATTAGTCGAGAGACAATTTAATTTTGAATTTAGTAAATAACATAACATAAATAAAAATATTTTTGAATTAGAAGAGAATAACAACAGGATCAATTACTTACATATTTAACAACAGAACATTGTAGATACTCATTAATTTTTTAAAAATACAAAAAAAAAAATTGTAATACAAAAAAGACTATTCCTTTATTTTTAGAAATTATATTTTTTAGAAATTTCACCGATCCCATTGTTTTATATTTTTATTGATCAACAATTATAGATATTATAGAGTTTGTGAGTATGTTTTAAAACAGTTTATTTTAGAATTTTATAAAGTATGTTTGTAATTTTATTGTAGCAGTCATTCTTACCACATACATATTGGGTGTTCTGGTATTGCTGTAATGTCAGAGAAGTGCTGTTTCTCTAAGACTATTGCTATAAACTTCTTGTAAGTATATCTGTACTTTTATTTAAGTGTCAATTACATTTTACTAAAATAATTTGTAATTTTATTATTTTAGAACCAAAGACGGCTTAAATTTGATAAAGCTAAAATACATTTTGATAATTTATAAAAAAAAGAATATTGTTCAATAAAGGCATTTTTCATTGTCTCCAATTTGTTTTATTTCCTCAGATTAGAAGTGGCAATTGATACATACAAGGTCTGTTCAAAAAGTATCGGACCTTTGGTCGGCAAAAATAAATTTATTGATTTTGAGGTACGAAACCCTAATCCCCTTCAAAGTAGTCTCCTTGGTAATGTATACACTTCTCCCAGCGTTCCTGCCATTACTGGAAACACTGCTGGAACGCATCTTTTGGAATGGCCATCAGCCGGTCCGTCGGATTTCGCACGATGTCTTCTCTCGACTAAATTCGGCTTCCTTTTAGTGGCATTTTCAGCTTGGGAAATAGCCAAAGGTCACACAGAGCCATGTAGGGAGAGTACGGAGCGTGACGAACCACAGGAGTATTGTGTTTGGCGACGAAAGCCCGAATCAGATGCGCAGAATGGGCGGATGCATTATCACGATGGAGCTGCCAAGTTTTGATCGACCACAGATCCGGTCGTTTGCGTCGCACTGTATCGGAAAGACGACGAAGGACCTCCTGGTAGTACTCCTTTGCGATGGTTTGGCCTTGTGGTGCGTACTCACGACACACCACCCCACGAGAATCGAAAAAACTGTCAACATGACCTTTGATATTGCCGCAGACCTGCCGCGCTTTTTTTGGCCTCGAGGATCGTCCCCGAAAGCCTGCTGAATCTTGCGAATGGTTTACGCTTGGGTATCGCCAATGTTTTTGGCAAATTTGATGTAATATCGCTGCTCACGTTGTTCAGTCATTTTCCAGCTTAGTGGAATCCGACGAGAGCGCACTACATGACCTCACTCATAGGCCGATTGCCAACGACTGACGCTTCCTGATAGGCCGATTGTCAACGACTGAGGCGGGAAAAAATTCAGGGCTGTGCATGACTGTCCCCCCCACAACTCCACCGAAGGAGGCCTCTCGCGTATCATTGGTTTACGCAGAAAAAAAAAGGTCCGATACTTTTTGAACAGACCTTGTATTATGACAAGATTATATTAAATATACAGTATGTAAACTAATTTAAAATATTTATCCGCCATCCTGTAAATATAAGGCAATGAGATTATTTGTCTTATTAAATTCAATATTCTATTTTAAATCTGTATTATATAAGTGTCAGAAAAAATTATTTATTATTTAATAATTTAGTACGGCTTTATGCAAAGAGTATATTAACATTGCTGCAATATGTGATTGCAGGTTTTTTTTATATCTACTAGTTTTTTCAGGCATTTTTTACTTAATTAACTAACTTTCAGTTATGCTTCCACAATATCCAAATGCTATCTGCTACTCATCTGTGTAAAAATTTCATTCAAAAAACTTTTTCCCACTTATAATCTTATCACAGGCCCTCAAAAAACTACTGGAAATTTTCCACCTTGCACATGTGATAGTATACAATTTTTTTTCTCACATAATCACATGCAGCCATCTTCCACTATGATGTCATCAAAAATGATATCCTTGATGTCACAACTACTTCTTGTGGCAATTGTGAGAGACCTCCATGATGTTTGTCAGTTATGATTGATTTAATGACATGGTAATCTGCAATTTGCTATGACCCTGAACATTTGTCTCTATAAGATAGTATTCTAGGCTAAGACCTTCAACAATTTAAATGTTTTGATTTTTCAGGGCTTTATTTCATGCCTGAATAATACAGAAAAATTATTTTCTGGTCCGTCTGAGAATTTCATCTGTCATTTTATTTTCATCTGAACTCATTTCACATTAACTCCCTATGAAAACCCTTGAAAGGATACAAGTTATTGTTTAATTTACAAAACAATAAACTAAACAACATATGATATTGAAATCTGGCATGTGCAGACTTCTCTGCATGTGCCAAATTTCACACTTTACACAATTTTTCAGAATTGTCTAATTCAAGGAATGGCATTTATGTACAGCATAATTATGAGTGATTATGAATCAGCAGAGAATTGCCACCTTATGAATATATGCATTTAAAAAAAACAGCACATGTGACTGCAGATTAAAATTTATCTTAAAACATACTATAACAAATAAATTATAAATTTACAAAAGCCAAAACTTACATGACAATGATGGTGTATAATCAATGAAATCAGTTGCAAAATAAGTTATTTCTGGAAGAGTATTTTCAATGTGTTCTTTAAAATATTCCATAGCCATTGTAGAAAGATCAAAAAGTTCATCAGTCACTTTATATGCACGACTTAAGCAAGGAGTGGTTTTAACATATCTTAAAATTCTATATACTTCATCAAGTATCTATTTAAAATTTAAAAAGATCCACTTAGTAAAAATATGGTAAAATGTTTTTGTAATTTATTTTCTACTTTTAAATAAAGTTTATATAGTAAAAGTACAGTTATTAATACTTTAGACAAAATGGAATTTAAAATATATCCACTTTAATACTTATGTTTGTTTAGTTACAGCATTGCAACACTTGGGTGATCTGCCTAGGGGGAATGCCTTCCAGGAAGTCTTTTTAAGGGTAACACTTATTCAGGCATTATAGATGTGGAGAAAACCTGGAAAACTCCACATGGCCAGCCCATCTTGGCAAGGCATGAACCCACAACCAAATTCCCAGTGTTCAGGGAATGAAACTGCTTGGCCACTGGTGGGCTCTTTAACACTTATAAAAATTATGTTTATTGCAAATGTTTTGTGTAAAAGAAAAAAAAAAATATTTTATTATTTTTTTTTAAATTTAAGTAATTATCAATATATTAATATAAGGCATGTCCAGAAAGTAAGTACAATTTGCATATCTCCCCTGTGCATTTTAGCAATGCCAAGGTCGTGCATGTGTAATTACTTCTTCACTCAAGAATGAAGTAGCCAAGTCACGTTTGTTTTTCTTTTTCACATTGAAGATCACTAAGCATTGGTTATAATGTTAAAAACAATTGAGCAGACCTCACCAGTTGTGAAATATGATCAGTAATTAGGTTTTTGAAATGAGAAACTTCAACCACAAAAAATTTACTAGAAAATTTCTGAAATTTATGGACTAAATGTGATAAGTGTTGTGAGAAAGTGGGTTAGAATGTTTAACAAAGAAAGGACAACATTCATGACAAGGAGTGTAGTTGCCTCCCATCCATAGTCAATGAAGGCTTGCTGCACATGTCGAAGACAAGATTCGTTCCAATAGTTCAGTTTTTGATTTGTTTGTACAGACAGTCTATTTCCTGACATATCAAGATCTTTGTTGCATGAAATTGTGACAAAAACACTTGCACTTCAAAAAGATGTGTTCAAGATTGGTGCCAAAAATGCTAATGGACATTCACAAAACTAAAAACGAGATAAGTGTTGGAATTTTTGCAGTGGTATGGAGAGGAAGAAAATAATTTTTGAAAAAAATTGTCACTGGTGATAAAATGTGGATTTGCCATGACACTAGAAAGCAAACAATAATTACTGCAATGACAGCATAGTGGTTTTCCAAAAGGCAGTCAATTTAAACAAACTCTTCAAAAAAATCATATTCAGTGTTTTCTGAGACTGTCAAGGAATTTTGTTAGTGAAATTCATGCTGCAAGGCAAAACAGTCAACATAGAAGTGTACTGTTAAATTATGAAAAAGTTATAATGAGCAATACACAACAAAGGCATGACCTACTCAGTTCCAGTGTAATGTTGCATGACAACACATGAATGGATGTCACAAGCATATGCAGCAGCTGCTTAAGTCATTTCACTGGAACAATTCACTCACCTCTAGCCTGAACTTAGCACCCAGCAAATTCCATCTATTCTGGCACCTCAAGACATTTCTTGTCAACCAGAGTTTCAAAGCAACTCTGGTTGGCAAGAAAGTTTTGTGAACCTCCATTAGTTTGTGAATGTCCATTAGTTTTGTGAACTTCCAGAAATGGTTCAAGTCACGGGCAGTGGAATTTTATGAACAGATATCTTCAATTTAGTGGCAAAATATGATAAATGCACAATTTGCATGGCAATTATGTTGAAAATTAGATTAAGCTATGTACAATTTAATGGTAATTAAATAATTTTTTTTCAATTGCCTACTTTTTTAAATAACTAAACAGTACTTACTTTCTAGACATGCCTCATATTAAAGTAGTTGTAACCAGCAAAATATTTGCTATAAAAACCTATCATTAATTTACAATAGGAAAAATAAATTTTCTTGCTGTATAAATTTTATGTAAATGAATTTATCTTAATATGTTAACATGTTTTGGGTAAATATATATGAGGACTGATCAAAAATATCCAGGGCAGAATTTAATGTATGAAAATAAAAACAATTATCAGTTACTCTGCATACATTCTAGAAAGTCATACTTTGAATTAGGTTATCTACTTCAAAGTATGACTTTCTAGAATGTATGTAGATTCCAGGGATCCTTCCACTTTCCTATACACATCTGATAGAACTGTTTGAAAATAGTAGAGTTCTCATATCACATTTAGTTTTATCTCTGCAATGTCTCAATATTTCTCCTTCAATATAATTTTGAGCCTGGTAAAATAAAGTAGTAGTAGTCAAGTCCTGGGAATATGGTGAACGGGATGCTGTACTTGACCAAATATGACACTCAGCAACATGGCACATGGTCTTTTCACAGGTGGTTTCTGCATTATGACAATTTCTATAAAAAAATTCTCTCCTTGGTATTTTTGATCCATCCCCATGTATAGCAAATATCAACCTGATTATATTGAGAATTCAAACTGGAAAAAATTACTAGGTTCACAAATTATATTTTTCTTTATATCTAGCAATAATAATTATTATTTTGGTGATTTAATCATTGGAAATAAAGAAAGGGTTAATTTTGTAAACATAAATACCTTCACAGTTTATTTGCATGCAGAAATAAATACCTAAGTCAGTCATATTTAATTGAATATAGTTTTTATTTCTTTCTTGCCCACTTGTAAGAGTTGTTCTTTACTTAGGTACCACATTATTTAAAAGAAATGATACCAGTCATCCTAACAAAAATATAATTTATAATTATTTTTTAATTTTGTTATTATTGGGAAAGATTATCAGAAATCAAAGAATGTCAACTCAAGAAGTTATTTTCAAAAGCATTTTTATACTATGTGAAGTTCAACAGCTGATGGAATGGGAGGGTGGAGTATCACTCTGGCAAGGACAAAATTAGACATATTTTTACTTATAATTATGTATAAAACAATTGATAAATGTAATTCATGCAAAACAAATAACTTAATAAATTAGAAATAGATTTTGTCTTAGTGCATATATACTATATATATATAGATTGTTTTTACAAGAAACAAATATATACTACATTTACATCTTTTGAAAATTAATCTTGTTAGTATGTTTTATGCTTAACTTTTTATTGTCATATATACTTACTTATTAAAATATTTTTTCCCAGTTATAATTGTATTATGCTTTGAAATAAAAATATATATTAATTAAAGTATTTCAAAAGATCTTATTCAATTTAGCTTCTAAAACCTAAATCCAAAGCTATGTATTAAATTTTTATGTAAATTTCAATCTTTAGTCAGACAATATATTATTCAAGATGACTGTCTAATTTTGAAATTCTACAGAAAAAAATAAATCATTTCATTGATAGGCATCATCTAAAAAATTATTATTATTATTTTATCTAATTGGAAATTTTTCCTTGTTTCTGGTAGAAGATATTTTTATCTGATTTTGGAATAATTTAGTCATTTTATTGCTCTGTAAATGCACTTACTTAGTTTTCTATTCTTAAATATTTTATTTACAAACTATATTAAATAAGGAACAAATTTTTTGTTTCACTATTTTAACATTTTAATACATTATTTCTAATATAAATAAAGCAATTATTTGTTATTAGTTAGAACATTTGTATTATTTGTATTCATTTATACTAGTTTAATTACTTTGTAAATTAAAGTCTGTAATATGGAATAACTAGTGTTCACTGTGTTCTCTCTTTTGTCACATCCTTTTCTTTGGCTTTGCCACTTTTGACATCTAAAACATAATATTAGTGTGTACATTAATAGTTTTTTTTCTGTCAGAGATGAAAATACCAAAAGATCTTGCTTTTTTCTTTTTATCTTATTCAGTCTATAGTAAAAAATAAGTGAATGTAAAGGACTGCATAAAATTAAACAAAATAAAGATCCTATAATAATTTATGTACACAATAAAAATAAAAAAATGCAGATTAATAATTTCTTACTTGCATGTGATTACATTAAATGTCATTTAAATTAAATCAATTGATATCATAATTGGTAGCTAAATCATATTATTTAAATATTTTCTTATCATACATTATATTTTTTTAATGATAATTTTCCATCTCAAGCTGAATGCATATCACAATTATATATCAGAATTAAAATCTTAACATACTTCACCAGCAAAGAAACAGCAATGTCTTCTTTCTATATGTTTTCCAAAAGCCATCTGCAATAGTGTTAAACGCATGTGTAATGTTTCTATGATATCACTTTCTCTTGCAAGTGGATGTTTACGTCTTGCAGATTCTCTTCGAGGCATCTGTGCTTTAATGCTTTGAAATCTTTGTTGCATTAAAATTCTTAAATTATGAAATTCTTTGTTCAAAATAGATGAGCAAATATTGTTGAATATCCTACATACCTATAAAATTAAGAACAAATTGTTCATTTGTAAAATAATTTTTAAACAAGTACAATAATAAAAACTATAATTATAAATAAATAGATATTAACTAAATTCTCATACATATTTTTTGTGTGTATATATGTCAAATGTTTTCATCATTAGATGAAAAATATTGATAAAGAATTGAGCACACAAAATATTTATTTAGAGAATGGAAAAAATTATAAACATTTTATTTTATATGGGGATGTTTTGAAATGTAATGCCTTTTCTTTTCTATTATATTTGTTTTATTTTGGATTAAGAAAAAAATATCAGGGCTGTAAAATACACCCGCTTTTCTCTTCCATAGCATTGTTCAACAAGTATAGACATGTGAAAACTTTAAAAATTAAAATGGCATTACTTTTCAAAACATCCTTGTATTATTGTAAACAATAACAAACATTAATTTATAAATTAAATCAAATCTTAAACAATTTAACAATTGAATATTATTCTTAAACCATAATATAACTAGACATAATAATAAAAATTTTTTTTATATGCAAAAAAAACTATTTATAAAAGTTGACATAAAAATTATTTTAATCTTATTACTGCCATTTACAATTTTATTTGTATATTTATACTAACCATATAATAATATAACAACATACAGGGTGTTTCAAAAAGAATCATCCGATTTAAAAAAATCCTAACTATTAAGCTTTTAATTCATCTTCAGTGAACAATGTACTGTTAGAAAGAGAAAATTCTCGAGTTTTATGCAGTTGCCCTTTTTCTTCTTAAAGAACACTGTTACGGGAACCACATATCTCAATATGCTTGAAAACTGGCTTTTCCCACAGTTAAAGACCGATTCCGATGACTTCATTTTCCAGCAGGACAAAGCACCACCACACTGGAGCCTGGAAGTTCAAGAATTTTTAAATACACAGATTCCCCAACAATGGATCAGCCATATGGGACTTAATGATTCAGCTTTACATAACTGGCCTTCTAGGTCACCTGACCTCACTCTTTGCGATTATTTCTTGTGGGGGTTTATAAAAGACTCCGTTTATGTGCCTCTTCTTCCAGCTACAGTCATAGCAGCGGATCCAGATATGTTCGCAAAAGTTTGGGATGAATTTCACTACCGTTTGGACATATGCCATGCACCCAAAGAGGAGCATATTGAGCACCTATGATTTAGTATGTAAAAAAACTTGAAGATTAGCCTTGTAATATAAAATTAATCTTAAGTGTGTATCTTCATTACTTTTCATAATATAATCATTTTAAATTGGATGATTCTTTTTGAAACACTCTGTACATTGTTTGATATGACGGCCGAATGGCCTAGCAGTTAAGGTGGCCACCTACAGCTCTGGGAGACCGGGATCGAATCTGGAAAGGTCAAAACATCCTCAGAAATTTTTCAGGAAGTGGTCCATCTGGATATGTCAGGCCCTGTCCCTCACCACCCAACTGCCCCATTGAGGATCAGCTAGGCCATTGTGGGCCTGGCTGAACCCAAAATGAGCTTGCTAAAAGAGGGCCCTCTTAGTTCCTACAGGGTGGAAAGAGTTTAAAAAAAAATACTTTTGATATTTCCTTAAATATTTTCAGCATTCATTATCATCAGTTTAAAGTATGCATTATAACATTTTATATTTTTGTGCTCTTTTTAAAATTCTAAATTTGGTTTTATTTCTTATATGTACAAAATTAGAATGTATGATTTAATTTCTAAAATCTGTGCAACTTTAATGTTGGATTAATATTGGCTAATATAATGTACTGTTTTTAGGCAGCAGTTACTATTACGCTATTAAGTGCTGAGCAAATATTGCTGTTTTGTTGGTAGAAGACTAACAAGTAATGCACAATCAGGCATTACTTATTAAAGTATACCTTTTCCTTTTTTTTCTGTTCATCTGTTGAAGAATGTTTTGAGACTCCTTTCATATCCAAAATTCATTAGAAACATATATAATATACTCAATAAGGAAATAGTACCAAATTTGGTTGAAATTTGCCCAATAATTCTTTTTACAGAGAACTCTGAATGCCTACTCTTCAATGATGATCATCCTGTACTGTACTTGATAATGTATGAAAAAATTAAATTCCATAAAAATGAATTTGAATGAAAAAAGCTTGTTGAAGCAATTTTAAAATTTGTATTATGAATTCATATAAATTAAATGTAAGTTGCTAATGCTAACACTGTTATGAAAATGCACTATTCATATATAACATCATTAATCAAGACAGATGAAAGGATATTCAACTATCTTGCTTAAGGTTTTATAAAAGAGTGCAACAAAAATTTTTTCACATAGATAAACATAAAAAGATTTATGCACTTGTGCATATATGCTTACATCTATACATATGTAATGACACCTTTCATTCTGATGTATTTTTCTATTTTTATGCACTATTAATAATTTTTGTTTACAAGAGCATATATTCCTTCTGCTGCCCTCAATATATGAAGTAAGATATAGTATAATTTTAATTTTACAGATCAACATTACACAGAATAACAGTATTCATATGCAATCAATTTTTTTCATTATAACTATTCTAAAATAACAAGTTTTATATCAAGTGCAGCTGAATGACAAAATATTTACTTCATATCAAATTTTTCTACTGAAATGATATATTATGTCCAAAGATAAAAGAAAAATACAAATAAATTATGATATACATAAAATAATTTTGTTAACCAGTGGCGTGTAATCCTATGGGAAAAAAATGCAATTGCCTGAGTGGGGCATCCCTATTTCAAATTCAAATACGATTCGTGAAGCTATAACATGCCACTCTCATTAACTTATTTCAATTTTTTTACTTTGTTTTATGATTCGAGTTATGAAAAGTAATAAGATTTACATATTAAGATTTTTGGACTGCAATTTGTAGACCTATAAATTCGATCTGTCTTTCTTCTTAATTTCGAGAACGGAATCCGATACGGAAACCTTAGTGGNTAAGAGTTGTTCTTTACTTAGGTACCACATTATTTAAAAGAAATGATACCAGTCATCCTAACAAAAATATAATTTATAATTATTTTTTAATTTTGAATTTTATTTATGCTTATATTGTTGACATTGAGTTATTCTCATTAATAATTATATTAAACATGTTCAAATTTAATTAAATAAAAAAAAATTTGAAAGTGACTATAAAGTATTGATTTGTAAACAAGGTTGTAAACAGAGAGGGAACAAAAGAAATGCCAATCTCACTAATTGGATCCACATGCAGTCCGGTGATGACCACTTGCCAGGTGGTGAACTTCTGGACATAAACAAGTGGGTCGGAATATTGGTGGACGTAAGTGTAAGTGTCACTATCATCCGATAAAAGTGGACCTGGGTGAAAGTTGTTCATGCAAGGAAGGTTTATGATTGGTCAGAAGTTTCTGTCCAGGAAATCCTTAAATTGCGGAGCGAATGGAATAAAAAGGAGAGAAGAGCAAGAGACTGGGTACATGGTAGTCTCTGGCACTTGGGAAGCCCGCTGAGCTTAGAGAGAGCATACTCCTCTGGTAAACATCTCAGGTATGGGTAAGTGCAGAGATCGGACGAACCGTGCAGTTGAACCATTCCGTAGGCTGACCTAGGCCTCTCAAGAACCTAATTGTTCCTGTATGTCAAATTACACCACACTTTGTGTTTAATGTGTTTTCTAACTGGTATAGTGTATATAATTTTGTAAATAAACTGTACATTATGGACTATCTTGAGTGTGGAGGTGTGCTTTCATCGAACCTATACAAGAGCATTATTGAGTCGTATAATCCAGAAAACCAACTTGAGACAGAGTTTAGTAAGGAAACTTCACTGTGACAAACTACTATATTACTGTAAAACATACAAAACTAATAAACTATATTTTATATTTTAAATTTTAAAATATTTACTAATAACAATTTCCTCATACAGCTCTCCCTTAATAGTCCGACAGGTATGGGACCAAAGGGGGTGTTGGATTACCAAAAGTGTCCGGATTACCGAAAATAATTACATACTTTGCATTGTTTTGCTAGCAGTAGCTTACAATATTCCCTACTCCACTGTTCGAACAGAACTGCTCACAGAAAACACACAAAATGTGCGTCATCATGTAAAAATTGGATGGGGAGATTCATGTCGTGACATGCTTCTGTGCAAGCAGACATGTAATGGGGATGGGACTACTGGTGGTTGGACTACTGAGCATGCCAAATTAGAAAACATCATACTATCAAGGGAGAGCTGTATTTCATTTCTTTTCTTTAATTGATCTTTTATTTACTTCTATATAACTGGTCAATAAAAAAAATCTCAATATTTTATTTCTGAAATTATCCTTAATAAATTTGGCATTTCATAAAATCTTATTCATTTAAAATTCTCAGGAACTATTAAGGTCAGTAATACAACTACAAACTTAAATGTATTGGAAACAAAACAAGCTGAAATTATCACAAAGAGGCAAGAGATAATTATAACAGTTATACAATAAATATTAAATTAAGTAGAATTATATTTTCAATGAAAATACAGTAGAGCATCGTTTATCTGAATCAATTGTGGACTGGAGTTGTTCGGATAACTTATTTTTCGGATAACCTATCCCATGTTGAAATTTTTCTCCGTTGTGTGTCACATCATGTTGAATTTTCATCAATGTTAAGCCTAATATAAATTTTTAAAAATAATAATCATGGCTATTGTATCATTAAAAATTATTTCTTTATTTTGTACAAACAAAATACAGTAATATATTGAAAAATATAAAAACAAAAAATTATATTTTGGAAGTTAATCTAGTATCAAAAACATTCGATTCAGCATGACACAGTCTGACTGGAATGCTTTCGGTTAACCAACGTTTCAGTTGATCGGCTTTCGGATAAACGAC